GGGGGGGGGGGGGGTCTGAATTGAGCGATCAATTATTAGACCCGGACGTCCCAACACTTGCTTCGCAAGACAAACTCAAGGTATCCCCTAAAGGGCTACCTTTCGTGATGAGTCAGAGGGGTCCAATCATCCGAAAACATAAAAATATCCGAAACCATCACCCTGCGCAATGATGCAACTTCTACTGCGCGACCCGTTTCAGCTGAGACTCGTCATTTTCCAACGACGGACAAGTGGCACGAGCCTCGGGGAGGGGCGACTGGAAGATCAGCCCCTCGTTCATGAAACAAGCATGGATTTGGATGGCATGGACCCTTGGATGACCATCATCGTTTACAAATAGCTGGTTTTCCACTTCCGGAGTGGGGATTCTGCATGAGTGTGGTTGGAAGAGGTGAGTGGACCTCCCTGGGGAAGACCTGTTCCAAGTCACCCTGAAACCACCCGAAAAGCCAAAAGCAGCGAAGCAACTGAACCAACATGCTTACACCAAACACAAACATCCAGAGTAGGAGATAGTAGGAGCAATACAAATAACGCATTGCTTTCATTGACTGATCATCGGGATCCTCATGACGGATCATCAGTTTGCTAGTTGGTCAGGACCTCCAACGACTTCGCTTATGAATGCATTGGACCTGCCAACTGGGATGGTTCATGATGGCTCTTTCTTCATCAAGCTACTCATCACGCTTGTCCGGCTAGTATTCTTCCTGAAATTATCATGGAAGTGGACAACCACCTGTTTGTAGACGGTTATGGTCATCCAACCGGCCATGCCAACTAATTCTATGTTTCTTGGAGGGCTATTCACTCACACCCAGCCAGGATGGGCACCCATCGACCATGACAACCAAACCACTGGGTTGGCATGTCTGATGTGCAAATGTCCCATGCATTATTCCGCAGCACTTTCTCATCTCTCCGTATTCATCCTCGGTGGGGTTGCCACATTCAACCCGTCCACGAACAACGTGGCAAAGGCCGGCAACTGGTCCGAAACTTTCAGAAGTATCTCTGGATGCCGGTCACAAGGAACCCATGGTCGAGTCAAAGGGTAGCACCACTGCACCACCACAGCATCATATCACACCTCAATTCACACCTCATATCACTTGTGGTGCCTTGCTTTGTTTTGACCTTCATCGAAGCACACCTTCGTTCACACCTTTGCAGTCCGGCAATGTGGCTGGGCAAACCTTCAGGTGCTGTGCTTGGCCGGTGCTGTGCTCGTGATGAACTTCCGCGTGAGACAAAGAGGTCGAATGACAGCAATCGCACTGCACTGCACTGCAACACATGGCACTGATCAGCACTGCGCGGGCGGTCAGTGTTCATTCATGCATGGTCGCGTCGACCGTTTAGAAAAAAAAACTGTCGGACATAGGAATGGAAGATGTACCAGGACCCTCCAAGGGGTGCCCAATGGAAGCCTATAGGTAGTGTGGGGTAGTTCATTGGACACCCCGACAGGAGGGTCCTGCCAGAAGATGCGGGATGTGACTACCACTTATAACTCGCAGTCTGGAGACGAAAATACCCCTCTCGCTCCCGACGAGACGAGACTTGCGGATCCAGGGCGACGAGACTTGGAGACGACTGGGGATCCATCGTCCGAGACGGATCCGTGGCTGCCGAGTTCGATGGGATGAATGGTCGATGAATGGCTGCCCGGCCTTGACGTCCAATTGAATGGCCAAGTTCTTGAAGTTGCTCTCGAACGCGAAGACGAGGGTACCTTTGGGAGGCTTTTGCACCGAACGAAACCACCCGCACGGTCCACCGAAGGGTTCAACAGTCCCCCCGCTGGAGAGTCTGGGTGTCCTAGAATCAGCCTTCGAACTTGCCCAAACACGACCCATGGGACTGCCATAGGACTGCCAATCAGTTGGAGTGGTTTTGGGGGTGTCCCATGGGGCGGCAGTCCTATGGCAGTCCCATGAATCGTGTCTGGGTTGACTCTGGGTGTCCCTGACTCCGGCGCTGGAGCGAGTCCGCCGGAGAAGAGCAGCCGACCACCGAACGGACCCATTCATCAACTTCAAAGGATGGTCGTGATGGTTTTCAACAGCCCATGTTGTCCGCACCGAACTCAGTTCCACTAGTTTGACAAACCAGTGATGTTTCATGCTGGATGGATGGGCTGCTTGGCCCACTCGTGGGTCTGACTGAAGGTCCGCTGATGTCAGGGTCATCCCGCCGCTGTTGAGATTCTTCTCACCCCGGATCTTGAAAAACATCCAACACATGTTGGCCTTTCCATCATGTTCATCCGTTTGTTGAAGAAACGACCTATCGCCGCTATCGCCTCGTCCCCTCGAAATCAGTTCCAAGAGACACTCAAGTTGTCGTGGGGGGAATTTGGGTCAATTGCAACTGTACATGCAAAGGGAACTGGCGGATGGTCTTGAAATGTCTTGAAACGTGTCCTGCTCTTGAACCTTCCACCCGGAAGCTGGGTCAATGCCTAGTCGCGATCACCATGCAAGTGAGCCATGTTCATCTCAGGCGAATGCGTCGCGGGGTCTTTTGGATGGCAGGGTGGCCATCGGATCAGAATTTTCTCCAGGGAGCCAGCCAGTGGTGGGATGAAACTCAACAAAGGAAACGTTGAGCCACATTGAGTCACCCAAGTTAGTGAACGAATGGACAACTTTGTGGATGGAAGTTTGGCCAAACTGACCTACTCAAAATCTGTATGACCAACTTTGACACGTGCACAGTGCCTCAAACCACTTCAGTAGTGATTCCAACTAAAATCATGGAGCCGCTCTCAACGAGCCCTGCACCGTTACCAAAGAATGAAACTGTTGACTGGATGGAGAAAACATGCTAAATGTGGGGGGCATATCTATGAGCACCATATTGTGTACTTAACTTGCACATACACATGAGCTGCTGCGCAAGGTCTTCCAAGAACTTATCCTGTGGTAATTATGCCGCTCACAATCTATAACCGTTGTATTTGTGGTTGCTCATATCTACAGCGTGTTGCACTTGGCAGTCTTCACATGATGTAGACTTCGGAGTGAATCTGTTCATTTTTCCGTGGCTATACCTACTACCCCTAACATTTGGTGCTGCACTAGGGCTTATAATTCCCCTTGATGTCCCCGAAACCTTTCAATGCATAGGTATTCCTGCTACACACCCAGGATTGCCCTGTCGTGCACCGCGGACCGTGACACGTACCCCAAAAAGTGTAGAAAGTTACGCCGAAACAACACTCCGAGTTCTATGCTCCACGCACGTTTGGGCCGCGCCCCCCCACAAAAAGCACCGCGCCCGCGTGTTTGGGGCCCCCGGGTGCTTGCCCGGTTCCGCCCCCTTCGGCACGCGGGGCACCGCGGAACTTCGCACCAAGTGGCTGCGAGGGACAGGAGGAACTCCGACTTGCCATGGCCTGGTATGCCAGTGGCCACCTTGGTGATGGTTCTTCATGGTTTCCGGGTGGCCCACCTGGCTGGTCTCCTGTTTGCGCTGTTTGCTGGTTCTACGATACCATACCCTCCCGCCAAGCCACAGTGACTTCGCCGGGCAACGGCCGCCAAATCTGGTCGAAGGCCTTCCAGCCTGCGGCGCTTTGTCCTTTAAAAGGTCGGACATTTGTCGGACCCTAACAGGTCTCAATTCTGTAAGAAGGTCTGGTTAGTACACTGTGGATATACAATCCCGAGTACCTATTAAAAAAGCCTCCCCAAATATTAACAAAACACGTTCGAAACCCTAAATTCGGTGTATATGTATTTTTAAATTACCGCCCTTTCAAACCGCTACTAAACTACCAACATGGTCGATTTTGGGGGTAGTTTCTATTATTAAGTTCCAAAAACAACCGTAACTGCCCACATCTGTCCGCCCTGTGTATCCACCAATTATCACTCACCCCCTATTTAAACAACTGCGACCGAGCTTCTCTTAATAGGGGGGGGCGCATGTGTTTTAATAGGTGGACAGGATTATAGTTGACCTGTCTCCACAAGATCAGTTCGGTTTGGTCTCTCCCGTACAACGGGTCCTGGACTTTGGACCGCGAAGGGCAGCTTCTCCGGTCCGCCGCGCAGCTTCATGACTCCGAAGGCTCTCCCAACAAGAAGGGCGAAAGAAGAAAAGGAACAACCATTGAACTTAACAAACGAATTAATATATTCATTAACAAGAAAATTGGAACGATTCACAAAAGGACAGAAACATCTTCATGTCCATTAACTCCTTACTCCTCCGCAACTCCCGTTACGGATCCACGGGAAAGGCGACACGATTTCTCGGTGCGGCTCGATGTCTGCCGCGACGTGGCGCCTGTCGAAGCACCATAGATCTGGCGATGCGCCAGCTGACCTCGAGACGCGACGCGAGCGTCCGGTCGAACCGTCCTCGTGTGTGGGCAGGTTGCGGCAGGTTGCGGGGGGCAGAAGCCATGGTGGGCAGAGAACAACTGGGTGACCAAACAACACATGTGATCGTTGGGCAGAATCAAGCACGATGCTCCACAATGCTCAACACCTTTTGTTGACATTTCGACATCAATGGGGAAGTGCGGAAAACAGAAGCACCATCAGAATCAGATTCCAAACCATTCTAAACCATCGTCAGTACCATCGTCTATTCTCAGGATTTCAGATTTGACATGTCAGGAGGCACCAACGACCCCATGACAGCCGTGATGAAGATGTGCCCCGCCTGTGACGCGCTTGTGCAGGTGCTCCAGGGTCTCCTGAAGTCGCCCAAGGAGAGGAGTGCGATTTCGACGTCGACTCCCAAAAGCAGCCAAAACATCTGGCACAAAACTGTACTCCAAGAACATCTGAAGAAAAAACACAGGCTGAGAAGTCCAAGAGGTCAACTTTCAGTCTGTATACGGGTGCATGGAAGAAGTAGGAAAACCATGGAAAACCTTTGTTTCGCTGTAGGTCTCTTCCACCTCATTGACCTCATGATCAGCCTCTTTTTGTAAGGGCGTTCCATGGCTTGGTGCGACCGACCGTTTGGACCGCAGTCGCCCAACCGCCGCCGTTTCCGGGTCCAGCGAGGCTGGAGGTGCCTTCCAACCTGAGGCGATGCTAATCGGATTCACTCGAGGTTCACGAAAGGCCGAGGTGCCTCCTTCCAACCTCCTCACACGAGGCCGGGGCGGAAAGTGGGTGTGGTTCGCAAGGCGAAGCCCGGCCAAATCATCGAGGTCGGTGGGGCGGCTCGCGGTTCAGTGGAAGGATGTGGAGCGCTAAGGACACCAAGAAGTATAACCTCATCAAAAGCTCCATGGACCACGCTAGAAACAGCTTTATCTATTGCGGTAGAAAAAGATCATGGTCCAGAGTGGCAGCTTTCTGCGCAGGTCCAAGCTGATACGGCCGAGGGCCAGCGCATTCAGCGAGGGCCAGTGTCACAAGGTGAACGTAAGACGGCTCAGTTTGATTGCAAAGCAACTTCACAAGAGAAACCAAACATCCGGCAATTTCAGGACGTCATTCAACTTTTAGAACCTCCAAGTGGCTGACCATTGCTTACCCAGGGTCCCCCCCTCTCACTTTTCAGCCAAGCTTCTATCAGCATCTTTTCTCACACGGATGCCTTTCTCGCAACACTGGGGACAACGACCTCGGCCACCATCCACACACCCTCGCCAAACGGACGGGGACGTGCCGTGACATTAATTATATGAAATGTATCCTGTATACATATATTTCATTGTATTTCCAGCGCAACCAACTAGATTGAAACATCCCCCTCCAGTGCTCTGCTTGACCATGGTTCACCAGACTGGATCACTGGATCCTTCTGTTCACGGCGCGCGGATTCCAGAAACACCTCACACCACTAGTGTCGTGCCCAAACACATTGAAGGAGCTGGCTCTGGTGGCGGCGCCGGCTATGGTAGATGCAGGTGAACTGCTCACAGCCACACCGGGGGCATCGAAGGTTGTATTGAAATTTGGCAGCCTTGGATGGCACAAAATTGCTGGCCATACCAACCATTGAATGACATCTTGCATCTGGCTCAGGATACAATAGTATCTGTGGTAAATGGTGTGTAGTGTCTCGTGATGTCTTGCGACGGGGGCCGGGCCATCAAACAATAAACGGCGTGCCAAACAGCAACTGCCGTCTCAGAACCCCCCCAAAAGTAACCTGCTCATGCTTCACCGGGCGTCCACTTCCTGAGGGTCTTGACGACCCTGCTCGATGATGTGCTCCACCTCATCCAGCCGCCCCGGACATGTCTGCGGCGGTTTCCGCCGGTTTCCCGGACACCACGGTGGGGCGACAGTGTAGGAAACCTTCCAGGTGAGGGTGGTCCCCCCATGAAAATACAGGCCCGGATGTCCAAAAATGTCACGGCACAAACTGGATCCTCTGACCAGCCTGTTGGCTTTGGACTGCTCGATGGGCTCGCGACGGGCTGCTCGATCAGGGTTTGATGGGATCAACATCTTCCCCACACCGTCCCGCACCTACCAGTAGGTGTTTGTCAAGGAGTGCCGAGGTCCGGTACTGCCCACTAAGATCTGGCGCTTGCTGTTGAGATCTGGAGCTGGCAGTTAGGAACTTCAAGAGACACAGGCATTGGAGGCGGGATGCGGGATCATCTTTTAAAATCTAACAGCCCTCACCCGGCCGTGGGAAAACAGGGAACAAAGTGGTGCAGGAGGCCAAGGACAGTCTGAAGACAAATTTTTTTATACAGCAGGTGTTTTTTAAAAATAGGTGTCCACATCTCAGCACTGAATGCCACCAAGTGGTTTGCAAATCTGGAGGGGCAAGTGTACCAACAGCTATTTTCCATTGGCAAGAAAAATGCCAAAAAACAGTTTGGGCACACACCTTCCCCATTCTGATCGAAACTGTCGCGTGTACGCATTGTCAACGCAGTGTATATCAGACAAGGTATTTCTCGCATGGAATGCAGAACCAGCGTGCCTAAACATGACAACCAGAAATCTGGCCTCCCAAACCGAGCAAGCTGGTTTGGCGTCATGGTGGCGGAGCAGCGGAGATGTGAAAAACTTGCTGTGTCGAACGACGCCCGTGACAAGAACTCACCAAGAACTAACAAAAGAAACAAAAGACTGATCTGAAATCATGACTTGAAGCAAACATTGACTGACGACTGACCGCCTGCAACTGCGTGACGCTGACCAGGATCGAAAACCTAAGCCACTTGGCAGCTACAGAATTGGCGGGACCAGAAACAGAAGGCAAATTGAAGACCAGCTGTCAACCACCAAGAACTAGAGAAGAACTTGATCAAACAAAGACTGGATCTCCAAATCATGTTTTGTCCTCACATGCTCTTTGGCGTTCTTTGCGGCTCTTCTGGCCCTTTCTTGAATTTCAGGGGCGGATCGCGGATAGGCGAATTTACCGCCCTTCCCCGCCATGGGGTCAACCGGGGTCAAAACATGGTGTTCCGACACCGCCTTGAACACGCTGTCCTTGCGTCATCACATCATCTCAAAGACGATCAGCTTCACTGGTCCTGGAAGGAACCCTTCTAAAAGGGGTCGGGTTGATAGAAACCGGCAATGTGAAGTCAGTTTTCTGGCGCCTCAAGCTTTGGGGGGTGGGTGGGGGGGCAATTTGCAGGGTCACAAGAGCCTCTTCCTTTTAAGCGTCGTCTGCTTGGACAAGCTGCGCCGTTGGTACTTGTGCCACTGCTGACCTTTTCGCCAAATGGCAAATCTGATTAAAAGCGCTCGCCGTGTCCAGGCACAATTGAAGCGCCACAGCCAAGCCCATCATTTTCTCACCAAATCAAAGCGGTGAGTCTTCCCGGCGAGGCTTTTGGGCGAGTCTGGCCGGCTAGTCTTTTTTTGCATTTTTGAAATTGCTTTGCTCATTTTGAATCATGTTTGAAGCATAAAATTGTCACGAATAAGATCTAAAATGATTAGGAATTACTCAAAAGTGATTAGACATGATTTTGAACAAAAATCACCAACGGGTAAAAGTATGAGTGAACCAAAAGTGTTTTCACGGGTACATCCACGAGTGAAGCCACGAGTGAAGTTGCAGTGAACTTGCAGACAAAATGAAAGTTCAACATAGCCTTTAAATTTTACGATAAGTTGACGAGTCGAGCAACAAGCCAACTTACAAAACACAATGAAATATGTACTAAGTACAAACGGTTCCTGAACGATAAATCACTCCTGGCCTCGTTGAAAATTCTTGAACTAACTAGCTTAGTAAGTTTTGAATTTTTGGCTGAAGAGCTCTGTGCTGGCAGGGGCTGTGACAAAGCAAGGTTTTTGCAACTAGTCTAGTATTGAATCAAGGCATTGAAAAGTATCTATTTGTTGAAAGTAGTCAAGCTTTAACTGTGCTGGCAGGGATTGTATAATAATTATTGAATCTAGTCATTCTAGACAGTTTTTTTGGCTGAAGAGCACTGTGCTGGCAGGGATTCCAACCCTTGCAAACAACATCAGACTCAGTCAAACATGCAGTAGGGCACAATTTTTAGTCTAGGTTAAAATTGAACAATACGTGACAAGACATTCAGCTCAATCAGCATCAACCTCATCAGACAAGTCATGGTCATCCATTATTGACCTTCATGATGATTCACCTGGCTGGCACGAACGAAGTGCACTATTCAGTTTACTGTGCTGCACATCTGAGTCCCATGACATGGAATCATAGCAATCAAAACATGACTGTGAACAACCTGAATCAGAATTAATTCAGCAAAGCAGACATGGAACTTGTGCCCAGTCTCCATCACAAAAACATGTCTGCTAATTTGACATCCAAATGAAGAGTTTGGCACAGTGCCCTTCAGCTTCGACTCCGATGATTACTCACTGCTTCACTGACTGGAAAGAACATGCGAAATGCTTCTCTATCAATCTTTTGAAGCTCACGCAATTGATAGACCATCGCGTAGCTGGACCGGAGTCTTTCAATGCCAGGATTTGACTCAGTGCCCCAATGTGATGATGACGTATCGGAATCATCGGAATTCCAAGAAATGCAGGAGTCAGAGTCATCATCATCAGACAACTGCACTTTGCCAACAGCACTCGGTTCATCAAATAAACATTCATTGTAAACGATGTTGATGGAACAGGAATTGAAGAAGTGAATCACCACCATGATGATTGCAAAAGCCACACTAAATGTCACCATCATGATTGCCATGGCTTCCATCATAAACAGCACGTTTGATTGAACAAGTTTGAACGCTCAACTTGGCTGCTAAGATTGAATCACATGAATTTTCTAGAAATGCAGCTTTCAGAGTCATCATCATCCGACAACTGCACTTTGCCAACAGCACTCATACTCAGACACCAAATCAAGGCACACTGTTCATTGTTCAAATCAAAAACCATCGTGGCATTGCTCTTGCGCGCGAAGCGCGCCTGTTTCCTTGTCCTTTTCTTTTGTCCTTTTCCTCTTCCTCGTCCTTTTCCTTCCTTTTCCTTTTCCTGTTCCTTTCCCTTTTCCTCTTCCTTTTCATCTTCCTTTTCCTCTTCCTTTTCCTTTTGCCTTTTCCTCTTCCTTTCTTTCACGTTTTTTGTCCTTTTGTCCTTGTCCTTTCCTCTTCCTTTTTCTTTTCTTATTTCTCTTCTTTTTTTTTGACACCCCATTTTTGTCAAAAGGGATGTCTGCACATAGCTCTACCCCACTTGAGCCCAACAATTCAATTAGGAAACCAATTGCAAAAATCAATATATTGTTGAATTTTGACATTTTTTGAGGTTATTGATCAATATCAATATCAGTTCAAAAACTTCCACTATTGTTGATTAGAATCAATAGCCGATGCTCAGGGTTTGTTTGATCATACATTGAATTTTGTTTTGAAGGTTGATCTTGAGACCAAAGGCACAACTGGGCCACCCAGCAGGGCTGTCTTGGTGTCACGATGGTGCACCGAGGCGTTTTTAGTTGAAAAACCAGTTTGAAATCAGCTCAAATCAGTTTGAAATAAGTCTAAATCCTATTTGTGCACTTTTTCACCAAAAAGTGCACAAAGCTGATGCGCCCTCAAATTTAACCACCAATAAGATTTGAAGTGCACTGAAGTGACAAAAAAGTGCAAAAAGTTGGCATTTGCAAAATCACACAAAGTGCACAAAAGTGAACAAAAAGTGCAAAAAAGTGCACAAAACGTGCAAAAAATTGCAAAAGGTGCAACTCCAGCTCGGGACAAAAAAATCCAACAGTATTCAACTAGTATTGAACTAGTATTCCACCTCCAGCTCCAGTATCCAGCTCCAGCTCACAGTTTTAGCAATTAGATATTGGTTCCTCAACTCTCCTCACCAAACATTTTTGTCCACAGCTTTAGCCATTAGATTTCGTTTCCTCAACTCCCCTCACCAATTTTTTGTCCACAGCTTTAGTCATTAGATTTTGTTTCCTTAACTTCCCTCACCAAGTTTTATTGTCCACAGCTTTAGTCATTAGAAATTGCTTCCTTAATTTCCCTCACCCCAAAAAGATTGTCCACAGTTCTAGTCATTAGATTTTGTGTCCTTTCTCTCACCCGAAAACAATTTTGTCCACAGTTTTAGTCATTAGGTTGTGTTTCCTTACTTTCTTTCACACCAAGAAAAGGGGCCACAGTTTTAGTCATTAGATTTTGTTTCCTCAACTCTCCTCACCAATTTTTTTCCACAGCTTTAGTCATTAGATTTCGTTTCCTCAACTCTCCTCACCAATTTTTTTGTCCACAGCTTTAGTCATTAGATTTTGTTTCCTCAACTCTCCTCACCAAAAATTTTTTGTCCACAGGTTTAGTCATTGGATTTTGGTCATTAGATTTTGTTTCCTTACTGTCCGTCACCCAAAGAATATGTGTGTGTTTTTTTTCCATCTTCCTTTTCCTTGTGCCCTTCCTTTTCCTTTTCCTTTTCTTTTTCCTTTCTTTCCTTTTCTCTGACTCTTGCTTTTCCTCGTTTCTTTTCCATTTCCTTTTTCGTTTGTTTTTCCTTTTCCTCTTCCTTTTCCTTTTCCTTTGCCTCTTTCTCTTCCTTTTCCTTTTCCTTGTCCTTTTCCTGTTCCTCTTCCTTTTTCTTTTCCTCTTCCTTTCCCTTTCCAGGGAAATTAAGGAAGCAACTTCTAATGACAAAAGCTGTGGACAATAAAACTTGGTGAGGGAAGTTAAGGAAAAAACCTAATGACTAAAACAATGGACAAAATATTGTGAAAAAAGGAAACAAATTTTAATACTTATATAAAACTGTGGACAAAAATTCTGAAGGCGAGGAGAATTGAGGAAACACAATCTAATGACTAAAACTGTGACAAAACTTTTTAATTCAGGAAATTAGGGTTCTTTTTAAAAATGCAATCCCATCACATTTGATCAAATTTGATCAGGTTTGATCAGATTTGATCAGGTTACAAAATTTTGTAAAAACACAGAAAACCAGTAGAATAGATAATCAACAATCCAAATCAATCCATTTGTTTGTTTCCTGTTCGTCTTTCTCGACCTGTTCCTTTTCTATTATTTTTTTTTGCAGTTCCTTTTCCTCTTCCTCTTCCTGTTCCTCTTCCTTCTCCTAAAAAACACTCATAACAAAATGAGGATGACAATGAAATGCTGACTTTCAAACACAGTAAATTAAAGAATTACTTGTCATGAACTCACGTTCAGAAACAAAAGTGGCAAATACACTTTTTGCATTTTCAAATCATTTTAGATCACTTTTTGCACTTTTAAAGCCAAAAAGTGCACAAATAAGATTTATTAAGCTTCCAAAAGGGTTTAAAATGATTCAAAAGTGATTCAATGTGATGTTTGTTCTCCTGTAAACAAGGGTCGCAGGAGTCGGGTAGCGCCCTGGGGTCTCCACTTCGAGTTGGGGATTTTCCACAAGGCAGGATTGAACTTATGATTCTTCTTGTTATGTACGGACTTCGGTACTGCATGACGGACTATGATTCATCATCGCTGACAAAGTCTATGGTACTGTATGACGAACGCAGCGGTCTCTTCGGAATCATATACTATACAAACAATGGTTGCGACAAATCAACGTCTCTCAACATAACCCAATTGTAATATCTCGCCCTTCCAAAAACAAAGAAACAAGAGTACAAGAGTCTCAGGCGTGTCGACTGTGAAGCTGCCAGGGTTGTAGAAGTCATGTGCAAAGGCAGACAGTTCCGCCCCCGTGGTTGGCAACGGATTGTCTGCAGCCACGGAACGGCGGCGGGTGTGCATGCAGCCGCGGCCATGTCACGTGTTCCGAGCAAACGCCGACTGACTACCCACAGCGTAGCATGAACATGAGGTCCTCAAAATCTCTTGCGACTTTCGACCCACCATAGTAAAACAATATCTGACGATACCTAGCCACACGACTCCATTCGATCCAACTCCGTTCCACGATCATACAAGTCTCTACCACAAACGAAACTGTTGCATCCTGTCCCCGCCGACTCAAAACAGCCAGGTATTGGTCTAAACTGAAAGGGTTCACCAAAAACAAAGGCTGTAACTCCGACAATTCAGATGGACACCGCACACCCAAGACTTGCACTAATAGAACCAGCCCCAACACCACGCAAACGTCCTCCACAGACATGTTTGAACCAAAACTTCGGAGAAAAAACCTCATGAGTACTTAGTTCCCCGAAGTCTCTCAACAGAATCAAATCACCCCAATCTGCAGCTCAACACCAAAAGTATTCTACTTTTCTGTTTTCTTGACCCTTGTTTCGACACGCGGGTTTTTCTATCTACCCGGCGCATTCTAAAACATCAGCGGCCGCTGCTGGTCCAGATCTCCCACCAAGCCCCGCGTTCAAAAATCACCAGAACGGAGCGCGTGAGATGGAACGTCTGCCAGTGGCAGGAGAAGATCTGCAAAGAACTCGACAGCTTCCATGCTATCGCGAATTATCTGATAGGCACTGCATAGGTCCACTGCAAGTTCTTTTAGCGCTCCTTTGTCCAGTTCTTGTTGACAAATGTGGGGAAACTCTCGCGAAGCGCAATGTATGTGCAAATCTCAGGCATGCCGCTCTAAGCGTTGGCAAGATCTTCGTTTTTCAAGTCGCGCCAAATCTTCAGGTAGACCGTCTTTCTTCCTCTCGCTGTGACAGGCATCGCGTCCATCACTTTCGCAACTTCTGCGATGGAAGCCCGCGAGTTAGGACTGAGCTCTGAACCGAAGGACAGAAAATGATTTAACAATATGCCCGGTTGACGCGCTCATGACACATCATGTAGCGTGCAACAAATTAATGGGACTGTTGTAAATGATGTGCGCAAAATGGTTCGCAGAAAACGGGCAAGGCGTGTTCCTGAACTGACTTTCTCTATTTAATCATTAGAAAATAGCTGTTGGCACGTTTGCCCCTCAAGATCTGCAAGCAGACTTTGCACTTTTAGACTGCTGCTTCAGATCTGCTTGTGCAACAGCTTGTGTGCTAAATTTTCTGTATGTGAAGAAGATGAATGAAAACTGGAGCCCAACCAGTTCTCCCACTTGGTGGCATTCAGTGCTGAGATGTGGACACCTACTTAAAACAAAAACAAAGGCCTACATTACTTTATGAGAGCTTTTCTTCAAGCCCTCCTGCACCACTTTGCTCCGTTCCCAGTTTCCCCACCTGCCGGGTGAGGGAGTTGCTGGATTCTAGAAGAGGATCCCGCCTCAAATGTCTCTGTCTCTTGAAGTTCTTAACCGCCAGCTCCAGATCGCAGTGGGCACTCATGGGCACTGGACCTCCACATGCCAAGTAAAACGTCAGAACAGAGTCCAGAACCTTGTGTCAATCCGCATGTCCGCCTTGGTAAGGCTAGCTCAATACAGGTTTCTGCCTTCTCCCAAAATCGCCTGTCAGGGTGGGGATCACTCGAAGTAAAGTAGTTGTGAATCAAGCAGCTATGACTATGTTGATCTATTCCCAGTCAATCAGCTTCTCCGGTTCGGTCTGGAGAAAAGTCAACGGTCTCCTCCCGCGAACGATCGAAGTCAACGAGTTCTTGTCGTGCGTTCGATCGCGGACGAGTGCGGCCAAGAGGCGATTTCATGAAACTTGAAGTCCTGCAAACGAGGCGACCAAACGAACCAAAGGCCGATACGGCCGGTGCACCGGGTGATTGCGCAAGAATGGCGCACCCCGCAATGAGCGAACCGCAGAGGGGCTGTGGAAAGGTGGATGGGAAGGAATATATATATATATACAGAAGAAGATGGCTCTAATCTCCAGCAGTCAACTACAATAATCTCTTTGACATCCTTTTGCCCCCCTACAGTAAAACTCCCAAGATGCAAACGCGATAGTTGGAAAGTCCCAGTCCCACCAACAAGACACGCCGGAAGTAGACGTGAAGAGACAAGCATAAAAACACCTAACAAAAGCACAAGAGCTAGCAAACAACACGCACCCTAGAGCTCCAAGTACCTTCGTTTCGAAGGTGGGGCTGGGGTGGGTGCCATTGTCGGGTCCAGGTCGTACCGAACCTGCGGAGGTACGACTAGAGCCCCAGGGGCAGAATTTAGTCGACCCAACATCACTATTACACAACTCATCAACTGTTGAGTATCCGCTTTTCGAGGACGGTGATTGAAGGATCGGTCTCAAAAAGCTCAAAAGCAACATGCGAAGTAACATACGCCCCCCCAAATAAATATATTTTTATGGTGTTGTTCTTGTTCATCGGAGGGTCCCCCAAATGACAGGGGACCCGCAGAGATTGACACCTGGGAAGAGCTTCCAAACCCAAACGTCGTCCAGGAAGGTTTCATAAGTGTCTCACTCGTGTAAAACATGAAAAAAAACAAATAAGAATACTCCAAATCGAAGGGCTATATTGCAGTGATCCGTCGAGATTCTTCGCTGGTAAACGTTTCATCCGACTAACAACTGGTGGTCATATGTGGTGATTCTAGTGGGTGGGTGCCGAGTTTTAACAAATATAACACTAAATTAAACCAGTTTGCAATGTTTTCTTTTAAGAAGGCGGTGATTAAAACACACATATACGCTGCATGTCGGGGTCTCCGACATGAGTGTCTTTTAATTGCCGTTGTGTTGTTTAAAATAGGTACTCGGGATTTAGTTGGGTGTCCCCAATCACCCCCCCGAGTACAAGCTGTTGCATCTGATCCACACCTCCAAGCGTGGAAAAACCTGGAAAAACGGCAAATCACTGATCAAATCGGTTCCTACCCACTGGCCTCCCATGGGCGCAGCCGAAAGGCTTCCGCCTCTTGCACCAATGTCCTGACGGCCATCTCTGCCACCGGGTGATGGCGCGGCGCTGGGTCTTTAGGGCTCCGGAGGTGTGTGTGTGTGTGTCACCCCCTGTATCTAAGGGTTCCACCTCTTCTCTCACTTTCAACTTTTTTGAGCAGGGGGCAGAGGGATCTCCAGTTGTGGCCTCTGCCAACGAAGCTCCACACTGGACGATCAGGAAAACGTACCTGCGCAATGACACTACTCCACTTTTCCTTGCTGTGTTTTGATGCCATGGTCGTTCATGTTTCTCCCCCCAAACCTTTTCCTCCCCAGCAGCGATGCAGCTTGAGCCGCTTCGTCACCGCAGTCCAGGGAAACAACCATTGTTCAAACACCTACAATTTCTCGGACCTTTCGCCATGCTGTTCCACCGCCATCCTTCCCATCGTGGTAACTGAGTTAACTGAATACAATTGTCAGAGTGTGTTTCGCTCAGCCGTCCCACTCGGGTGCTGAGTGTGATCCCCGTCATTGGGGCGCTGTCTCATCGTGCAAGCAGTAACTGACCTCACCACCTTTCACAGGAACTCCACTGGAAGTCACCCCCACATCCACCGAATTAACTGCCACAACGGCCGCCGGGCCAAAACACGGGAACTGACAGTTTTGCAGCATTTGCATTTTTCTGCATGATTTTGCATTTTCCGCATGCTCTTGCATATGTACTCAAGTAATCTGACCTGAGATGTTTGACGGCTAAGTATTCACATGTGCATGTGCTGCTAAGTATTCACAGGCCGGACAAAGTAATCGTGCATTTTTTCTTTTTACCCCTCCCTACCCCTGGGCCTCCTTTGCTACCCCACCCGCTACTCGGGAAACAGAAGGAAATCGCACTCAACACACTTGTGTGTTGGTGCCTTTCCTTCTGTTTCTCCTAGCCTATTGCTAGCTGCCCGGGCGGTTTAAGACAAATGTCCCGCTCGCGCACTACTTTCATTTAACTAAGTGGGCCTCGTAACTACCCCTATCTTTCTTTCTTGCCCTCTTAGTCTGCTTTTGTTTTGTTTGCTTTGTCTGTCTTTCTAAGGCTTTTTAGGTGGCTATTAGTTTTTCGCAGCGCCAATAATGGCACTTTCTGTACAAAGCTCCACCTTCAACGTCCTACACACTTGCGCCGGAATCGGCTGTTTGTGTGTGTCACCCCCTGCATCTAAGGGTTCCACCTCTTCTCTCACTTTCAACTTTTTTGAGCAGGGGGCAGAGGGATCTCCAGTTGTGGCCTCTGCCAACGAAGCTCCACACTGGACGATCAGGAAAACGTACCTGCGCAATGACACTACTGCACTTTTCCTTGCTGTGTTTTTCCTCCCCAGCAGCGATGCAGCTTGAGCCGCTTCGTCAACGCAGTCAAGGGAAACAACCATTGTTCAAACACCTACAATTTCTCGGACCTTTCGCCATGCTGTTCCACCGCCATCCTTCCCATCGTGGTAACTGAGTTAACTGAATACAATTGTCAGAGTGTGTGTTTTTACCGCGGTAGGGGACACATCGAGCTCTGTTTAGGATCATTTCTCATATGGTCACATTCGAGTCTTTTTTGGTCTTTCCCTTTAGAGTCAAACACTGACGGTCACCCCCTCACTGACTTGGTCTCACAGTGGTTGTCACCACCTCGATCGACGCCGACGCCAGCACCCTCCAGCAAGCCGGCTATGGAGGTTCTGGAAAAACATGCATATAGTATGTCATGATTGATGTTATTGCTTAAATATCCTTAAATATAGAGGGCTAGAATTTTGTCAGGGGGGTTGTTTTTTCGGGGAATTGGTTCGCGAAGAACGTAACATGAAAGACCTTGGAGCGCAAGCCGCAGGTCATTTGGCTTCATGGACCCTGCTGGTTGGTCGAGTCTAGACCATGTTCACAAATCCTTCCCGCAAGAAGCACCAATAAGCCCGAATTGGGGCCATGCCATCCACGTAACCGTGATGATTGTCAGTTCGAGTGATCCCCACCCTCCAAAAAAAGCAGAAAACGGCCAAGCACATGTACCATCGTGAGATCTCCTTTTACGGTGCGATGACGGACCGCCGATGACCATCGACGTGACGGGCTCCTCAGCTTCTCCGGGCCGTGTGTCATTAAGACATCGTTGGCGTCCTGCACAAATGGATGGGAGGCTGTTCAGGAGTGGAGGCGGGGGGTAGATAGGAGGTTGGGACATGTTGGGATGCCCCAGCTGAGTTAACTATGTCGTGGCACTTCTACTCCACAAAGTGAGGGTTGTTTGGAATGTTGCTGGGTTGGGGGAACACCTGGGAATCTACAGAAGTTCATGGTTCATGAATCTGGTGGAACTGTCCATCCTTTTGATTGAAACATGTACACTCCCTGGAACTAACATGGAAGTGGAAAATGGATGACTATGGCCCCTTGGAAGACCACTGCGCTCTACAAAAGAGGTTTTCCACTTCCATGTTAGTTCCAGGAAGTGTAGCTATAATACCCTGAGGTCATTGACTTCTTTCTGCTGTAGTTTCAACCTTGACCCTAGCGCGAGATGGGGTGCAAAGTCTGATGCTCTACGATGCTCGGCTGCCGTCATTCAGCTGCCGCAACCTGTGCCAACAGTAATGGGGAAGCGTCGTTCTCCTAATCAAATTAAAAGGCTGTAACTAGAAACTTTCATATGGTAAGGCCAGAATCCGTGATTTACAAAAAGTCAAAAAAAAGTCAACTGGAAAAGTCAAAGTCAAAAAAAAGTCAAATTGAAAAGTCAAAACAATAGTAAAACAAGCAAGTCGAAAAAACGTCGAAAAAAATCAAAAAACCAACCAATAGACCACAGCTCGAAAAAGTCAAAAAACAAGTCGAAACAAGTCAAACAAAAAGTCGAAAAAAAAACCGTCGAAAAAAAAGTCAAACATGTGGCTCCTTGCCTTGGCGGATTACTGGAGTCAAGAAAAGTCAAAAACATGTCAACCATAGACCACAGCTCGAAAAAGTCAAAAAAAAGGCGAACAAACAGTCAAAAAAGTCGAAAAAAAAGTCAAACAAAGTCGAAAAAGGTTCAAAAAAGGTCGGATCTGGGCAAATTGACCTTTTTTTACGTTCGATCTGAAATTTTCTGATTTGACTTTTTTTTGACTTTGACTTTTGGGATTGACTTTTTAAGACATTGTTTTTGCAAATCTTTTAAAAATTTAGAAAACAGGCTCTTTCCAATGATTTTTTTAATAAAACTAGACACGCAATGTGGACACAATTAACACATCCACAAAGGTCCACCTGCGCATCAGCGCGGAATTGATGTCCACCTCCTAGCATTTGTGACCTTCGCGACGTCCTTCCCCATCACTGGTGAGTCTCCCCATACACTCCCAAGAAGGTGGAGACCTTCTTGGGTTGCACGGTCAGTTCCCGAGGTGGTTCTGTTCAACCGAAGTGAGGTGTCCAGTTCAGCCACCCCCCGACGACGGTCGTCACCGTCAGTTCCCAGCGGACTGTTCGGATCGGGTCAGATCAGTTCGTCTCGGGAGATCGGCAGTCCTTGCATCCCTCTGGCCATCGCACCAAATAGAACCTGCCCACGCCGCCGGCGATCGGCACCCGAGGTCTCGAGCGAACGACCGGTGTCATGGATGGTGGAAGTCTTTCTTACATGGTTTTGGAGAGTCAAAGTATTCACACAGTCATGTGATCAACCACAGGTGAATGACACAAATCAATCCTGTGTCTTGGCAGCCTCTCCCAATGTTGCATGTCCTTCTCCTAATCACTCACGCCTGTCTTCCCTCTTCAGTTCCTTCTGCAGAGCGATTAGGGTCTTCTTGGCACACTCCTCTCGCTCCCACGGTGCGCGAGCACATGCGGTGCCGGAGCTGAAGAGCGAAGGAACACACCCAGATCCGGAGAATCATCCTCCATCTCTCTCACAGGTGGCGGAGTCCTAGTTCTTGGGGGTCAATCAAGAATGAACCCTGGATCTGCATGCGGGCACCACTCGCGCGGTTTCAGCTGGTTTTTTGTTTTAGTGTCCGTGGGTGGCTCTCGGACAGCTTGCCATAATAGGAGGCCGCGTGGGTCAACGTGGTGCATCATTTTCTCAGTTGACCAAGTCCTGCAAAGATGTATATATAGTGCCTACTAGGAGCCAGGACGATACTAGGGGAGCTCCTGGCCTTACTACGAGTAACAATAAGCTATTAGTAACAAAGGGCATCACTACGAACGGAGCAAGGACGCTACAAAGTCCTGCGAAGATGTAGTGCAATCTGAGGAGCCAATTTGCATGCGTCTTAAGAGCTTCCAGTGACGAACTGGACATCAATCCAAAGGCTTGTTGCCGCGGTATGTTTAGGCAACGAGCATCCAAATCGATTTGGTGAACATCTTAGCTGGCACTCAAAAATCTCACCTAACTCGCTGGCTCTACGCAGCTCTTCTGCATGTGGGCGATCATGCTCTCGTCTGAAAAGCGAGAGAAGACCGACCAGTGGGTTGCGCTGCGTCCTGCGGTTCCTGATGCGAATGAGTCCCTGACCCCGCCGACCCCGCGATGTCGACAGAGTCGGGGTGGCCAAAGGTGGGCGATTGTGCTTTCCGATTGGTCCGTATTCCAGGGTGTGAAGATTTCGGCCACTAGTCTTGTCAGAGTCTAGGATGACCCATTTGGCTACATAAAGACGCCTACAAACGCTTGGCATAGACAAGCCAATCACCACAACTCATCAAGCCCATAACGCGTTCCCAATCATATAGGCACAACTATTTATCCCAAATTTGCTCCAGTTCCACCCCTCACTCACAAAACACCCTCACACAAAACACACACCGGAGCTTGTCTCCCCAAAAAAGAAACCCCTCAACTCCTCCTGTTCACCACTTCCAGCTCCGACCCTCCACTGACCTCGGTCCTGTCCCGCAGGGTCGCCGTCCACCGCCAGCACCACGCGCTCCGCCGCGCGCAGCGCGGCCAAGGCGCCGAAGCCGAGGGCCAGGCCGCCCGTGGCGCCGCCCTGCAAGGAGGCACTGTGCCTAGGGCCGCGTGCGCGCTGGCGCCAAAGACTTAGGGAAGAAAACGGTAAACACCAATGATACCAATGTACCAATAGCGAATCGTTTCAGGATCGGGTTGGGTGAACATGATTGAAAGGATTCGGTTCACCTTGGTTTCTTCGTCCAGACACCGAGTTCACGTCCGAACTCGGCGCTCGGAACGCCCACCTCAAGCCAGCTTCATCCATGGCCAACTTGTCGATCTCGCCTGGTGCGTCATCTGGTGCGGACGGCGAGGGTGGGGGTTTCCCGCCTGGTGCGTCATCTGGCAGATCTCAGTGTCGTAGTCCCAGCTCAGAACATGGAAAGTTGTGGCGTAAAAAAGTCTATTATACACTAGCCACCTCACGTGCCATGCGACACGTGTACTGTATACCCTCCGCCCAACCGCACCAGGAGAGGAACTAGCTAGCCATTCAGAATCAAGCCCGGTTGACTTATCACGACCACTACCATTCCCGCCCAGCATCCAGCAAGTTGATGACTGGAAGGAACGATCCCACAAAAGGTTTCCCGCCAGCCCTTCGATGGGGAGACCATTCTGACACCTCAACATACCTGCTTCTTCACCGTCCATCAGTCCGTAACTCACTGCTTTGGTCGGATCTGACCTCTGCATGGGTCGCCCCTCGCAAAGCGCTTCGCGACGGCCAGTCCCTCCGATTTGAAAGATATGCCAATCAGTTGGGGCGGATGTTCGGGGTCAGCATGTTCCAGTCCCGAGTATCTGCCAGGTGGTTTTGGGGACACCTCTTAACCTCTATAGGCTATGTAGAGACACCCCAAACGGTGTCGCTCCTGGTGGAGATCTGTTATATTTAAACCCTGGCCATTCTCCCATCCATCTGGCCGCCCACCGTCCGCACCTTCGGTGAGGATCACTTCCCGAGCGTCCTTCAGGTGGTCCACCCCGTAAAGACCTGAAGCAGCTCTGACCGCGTTGCACGTGTGCGTGATTGGCGGGACGTGTAGGACGGGACGTGACCGGTTTTGGCTTCACGCGCCGGGTGAAGCTGGACTCTGCACCGATGATGTCTTTGTCAAGTCCTCTGTCCCTCTCCAGTCCATCTCTCTCTCTCTCTCTCTGCATGTGCATGTGGCCGTCCAGTCCTCTTTTCTCTTTTGGTGCCCCTTTTGGGGTCTTTGATGAATCTGTGCCCCGGTTTCGCTGCTCTAGGTGCGCTGGTTTCGCTGCTCGTGGGTCATCGATACCCCAAACCAAAGACGACGAATGACTACAGTAATGGGACCGGAACATATATTGGCAGTACGTTGGGGTGGTTTCACAATTCAATGTATATATCACAGTACAAAATTCCAATCCATGGGCCAAGCTTTGAGGAAATATGCTACACACACATGGCCAACCAAGGGTCATCTGTGCTCCTGAACTGACCAAAAAGTCTTCGGCAGCGCGCGCATCTTCTCCTGAAACGTGGAAAGGGAAAAGGATGGAAAAGGTAAAAATAGAAGCCAGGACCCCAGGACCCCCAGTCGGGGTGGTTGGACACCACGAATCACGGGGCCATCGGGGCCATCGGGGCGGGCTTCGACCAGCCGGTCCCGTGGCTTCGTTCGACCAACGGTCCTCGGGGAGAGCTCTTCCCCGACCCGTGTTCCATCTCAAAGCCCCCGGTTTGGGGGGCGGGCCTTTCTTGGGGGGCCCAAAGCCTGAGAGGCACAGATTGGCGCCAGTGAACTGATGGATCTATCATGATCTATCAAATCTGCCTTAGACCCGTTCGCACGTCTGGCACCCATAGCTCCCCCATCCATGCTCTCTACTGCCAGTTTTCCAGAAGGATTACACTCCCCGGAACCAACATGGAAGTGGAGAATGGCCCCTTGGAAGACCGTGAAATCCACTACAAACAGGTGGTGAACTCCACTTCCATGTTAGTTCCAGAAGGATTATGGACTGATTCGTGAAGTTAGACCATGTTAGAGTTCATTAATGCGTCATCCGGGCGAGTGAACAACGAGCCATGAAGGACACTGAGTGGAACTTCGGATCCACCGCCAACCGCCTGTACAACAAACCTGCGGTAGAAAGTGGCGCATGCATCCACATGCGCCATGGACTTGTGGCAACGACATGCGCCAGTAGGCCCATGTTTCAAGTACTGGAACATCTTCTTGTTCTTTGCGACTGAGACCATCAGTCCACTGTTTCCTGCATCGTCTTCCATTCTCCAAGTGGCTGCGACGACCTGTCCCTCAGCAAAGTATTGAAAAACCTCGGACCAGCACAGCTGGAGATGGCGGCACACCCAGGTGGTCAAGGAAGAACCTGCTACCCTTCACCAGCATGTTTGGAGAAACTGGTTTGTAGATCTCGCCGAGTCTACATCTGCCACCAAGAAGCCATGGTTGATCATTTGGGGGGTGAGATGCAGATGAAGGCACTTTGTCTTTGGGATCTCATTGGAAAAGTTTAAGATACCAGGACTCCGGACCAGGGGCTTCCATTGATAGCTCCTTTAGAGGTGATTCGGGGCGTCCATCAACGACTTCGACGGTGGGTCTGGAAAGGTTCGGGACAGGAACTGTTCGTTCGGGGTGATGGAGAAGGATGCCTGGACATCGAACACCACCACACCGACATCAGTTGAAGCTGAGAAAACATCAGTTCTCCACCAACGGGTTCCCACACAGGCCCCTCTCACACAGTCCTTCTCCGCCATCAAGACTAACAGCATCTAATAGCCCAAACTGGGCTGCATCCCATTGCAAACGCCATTCCAAGAAGCAATGGCCGTGCCAAACTGCGTCTTCTTCGACTTGACCCCATTCCTTGGGTTTTTGGGGACCAAGGGTGCTAGTAGAGCTGTTGAATGTTCCGAGAGGGAGGCCCAACGACTCTGCTCACACTCCCGAAGTCGTTGGGCGCCATGACGCTGCGCCATGCGAAATCGCCGGGTCTCCCAACAGGCCCCAGTGGATCCCAGGCAAACCACTATATAAGGAACCAGGGATTCGTTCGGTCTATGGGTCAGTTTAGGACCCGGTGGCTGGGGGACTGAGTTTGGAGCCGGGAGACCGGGAGACCGACCGGAGATCCGGGGCAACGGGGCAAGAAGCGCCACCAAGGAACCGTGAAATAGCGACCAAGCCAGGAATTCCAAACAACATGGCGGTTAAAATGGCGAAAACCTTAGAATTCCTTTAAACCAAAACATAACAACACAATTCCATCCAAGCAACAAACACTTTTTCGCGTAAGGCATCCTTCCAAAAAACACAAAACACTAAGACTAAAAAAAGAAAACCGTTCGCCCTCGCGGATTCCCTTCGGCCTTTCCGTGTTCTCTTTCTTCTTCGCATCTGTGACTCACCCCTGTGACACATCCCTGTGACTCACCTCGACTGTGATCGTTCCCAGGGGCCGGTCCAAGGTGTGGCGACCTGGGACGAGCGCAGCGCGCAGCGCGCAGCGCGGAGAAGGTTGAGGGTAGTGGATGGAGGTGGAGCTGATGGTTTTTTAGAGGACCTTCCAGCAGGTGGTTGTTGGACACCTCTTAACCTCAGGCTATTTATAGACACCTCTTGGAAGGTCCTGGTATATACCCAAACACTCCCATGAGACTGGCATATCAGTAACTACGACCCCTGAATCATCCCCAACTGATCGGTCGATATGCCATACCTGGAGTGTCTGGCATATCTTACTGCCCCCTTGGGCTCCAGAAAAGCTCGCCACAACCATGTACCCAAAAGTGTCACTTTTTTCTAAGCTCAATAAAACCAAAAGTGGAGGATATATGAGGTGAAAGGCCATTTTTTGGGGTGGGGGTGATACCTGTTTTGTGGGCGCCTTGGGCCTTGGTGTTTGGTGTGCCCGTGGTGAGATCGAAAGGGATCGTCCCGGAGCATCTTGGAGCGAACCGTACAAGTGCAACACGTCTGTCCCTACAAGTCAGTTGGACCTCATTTTGCGGGGGATGGACTGGGATTGTCATACAAAACCCATACTTGAGGAGGTCAAAGACCAGGTTTTACTGGGTCAGACTGGACTTGTAGGGTAATGGGTTGATTTGCTACTAGTAGTAATGGCCTCCGCCCTAGTAGCGGTGGCCTCCAACCTAGTAGCGATGGCCTCCAACCTGCCAGTTTCTTGCTACTAGTTGATTGATTTGCTGGAGCCCATGTCTAGTTGACAGCCAACGAACGGTCTTGTCCAAAACTTGGACGCCTACAGTTTTGCCAATCTTCTTGGCAGGTACATATTCTGAAGCCTAGATTTCCAACCAACAAATATATATATATATAATATTATATATATGTACTGAATAGAGCAAATCCAAAACCGCCCGAGAATGGCAAGGGAAGCGGTCGCACTATGTTTGATACAGGCTGTACCTTCCAAAAGCACTACGTACCTGTTTTTGTTTAATGTGTGTAGTACATTTGGCGCCCAAGTGCTGCCGGTCTTTCATTCTCTAAAGGATCGTCGAAACACCCGGCCGAGTGACTGATCTTCCGGTCGGCGAAGAACTTCTCGTGCTCTTCTGTCAAATCACACAGGTTCTCACCTCGTCATCATGAGGCTGAGGTCAAAAACATCAAGAATATATAGAATCTTGAATAAAGTTCCCCAGTCGGTTCCAGTGCGAAGGATAGTTGAACGTGTGTTTCAAGGATCAGTGCGAAGGGAACTTCCCTCATTTTGCCAGTCGGCATGCGGCATGGGGCTCACAAAAAACAGCACTCCGGCTCTCCCAACTCAGCGCCACAGCTATCCCTTCTTCCGTTCAGTGGCCCAACTTGCCCTTCTTTGCACCTGGCGTGGCGAACACGACCGGACACGACCGTTTCGACCGTTTCTGGGCAGTCCGTGGTGTGCGAACGGATCGGTCGAACGTGCACGTGATCGGCTTCAGCACACCCATGTGCTGCAGTTCTAGGTGAGACAATGTAGAAATGGTCCAACAGTGATGGGAAATCGGAACCGAGTCCAAGGGCAGTCCGTGCGCCGTGAAACCCAATCATATCCAAAGTCCAAAGCATGCCGGGGAGGTTGGAAGCTTCACCAATTGGTTCTATAGTTTGTTGCTAGTAGGGTGGCGGCCATTGATTGATCCTAATTGCTAGTAGGGTGGCGGCCATTGATTGATCCTAAACAAAACATCCAACGAAAGCCCTTTCGAAAGCTAATATGATGAATTTTGGAAGCTGTTGTGGCTCAAATTTACTGGTTATGAATGGTTTAATTTCATCCTGACTTAATTTACATTGCTATTAATATTTGTAGCCAGCCATCAGGTCTTTCTTGCCTGAAACGGTTTGGCCGACACCGACACCGAGCCCAAGCAACAGTCCGGCACCAAACACTCCTTCAGGCGACGAATGCAATAGTGACAGATCTAGATTGCAAGGATTGGCACTCCACCCTACTAGCTATGGCCTCCAACCTACTAGCGATGGCCGATCCCGACAAATTTCATCGCTTGGGCAAACATCTGGATCACTTGGGGAATGTCTGCGACGATTCTCAAACCAAAGTCATGGCAATCGCCATCTTTTTGGCCGAAACCGACGACCTGACCCAAACGCTTCAACCCCCCGCCTGAAGCACCATGATGGTAGGTCTGGCGAACGCGCATTGGGTCGGGCGTGGCGCGCGCGGCGGGAGAACCTGGTGTGTGTGGGCACGGCGAGGCTGGCGAGGCGAGGTAGACGTCAGGTTTGGGGGGGAACGCAAAGACTCACATTGCCGCCGAGTGTTCCCCATACCTGGAGCCGCGAGCGTCCTGCGGAACCCGCCATCGCCGAAGGTGAAGAGATGCCCCCCGTTCCCAGAAATTGCAGCACATCGTTTCTCTCCCGGTGCCATTCGGTTGGCCGGAGTTCAGCTTCGATTGGGGCGATGCAACACTTTGGCCGGGCCTGGGCCCCATAAAGTCCTCGAAGCAGGGTCAGTGAACATAAACTTCCTTCCGCACGTGTTCGCCCGCCAGCACTTGCCTGCAAAGCGGACAGTCGGCAGATGTCAAGTATGAATGGGTGTTTTTCATGATTGTGTGAAATTGTGTGTTTTATTTTTCTTTGGACATGATTTGGGATCCAAAGTCAACCTTTCATCATGATGGCATGATTAAATGATGATTCCAATGTCAACCTTTCTTCCGAACGAAGCGACCTGCAGCACACTCTTCGGACGGGAATATCATCCGAAAGGAACACCATCTGAACGAGTTCCCCGGTGAATTTCGGTGGCCAAGGGTGAACAATTATACCATAGAACATCATATTATATAGAACTGTTCCCCATCAGAACTGTTGGCTCAAATCCCCAAGACTGTGGCCTGGGCCTAATATGTTTTAAACCACCACTTGGGAAGACTGAGCCAAGAGCCCTGACGTGGATGTACCCAACCTGTTTTACGGCGCAGGTCGGGTGCCCATGGAGTTGATTGGGGTCACGGATGAGATGTGTCCAAAGCAGCGCAATCATCTTGGAAGGTGAGTGACTCCAATGTCAGAAGTAATTACTTTAAGAGTTTACTTAAGGAGGTTTCCAACGCGTGAACCCACCTTGCAATCTTAAAGACAGTGTGGTGATCGGTGGTGATCATGCTTCGCAAACACACGCGCACACACACACACATGGCACGGTGATGAACACTCACTGAAACAACACACACACACACACATGCATGCGGGACAAAACAAGCAACGGGATTTTACCGTATACGTGAAACCAGGTCGAACACTCGACACGGTCGCCGTCATCGGAAGCCTGGAAGAAGAACTTAAGCAATGGCTTTTGAGCTCTATATATATACAACAACTGCTAATAACTGCTACAACAGCAGCGGCAACATAATTCACAACCATCGTTTTCCTCAAAACAGAAACGGCCTGACATAGACACCACTGTTTCATCTAATCTATCATTCCATCAGTCACCCAATTCAGCTGGTATATAATAATCATACGACAAGTTGTCTTTGAAATCCTACCAAAATCCATCTATTGGACAAATGGCTTCCGCACGGTCTGGGAATCCATCTCGCGACTGGACAACCCATCGCTTCCGCAGCTGCAGGTGGCGAACTCAACCGTGATCCACTGACACAGCACTTTCTTCTTGCACATCGCTCGCAGTAGTTTCTTGGGAGTGGTTGCAATCGTTGAGGCTACAGCATCCTTGTGGCGCAAAATCAACCCAATCGAAGGTGGTGTAAAGCAAGACCAAAGCGGTGAAACACCAGCCAGCGCTCACTCGCCAGCCCACTCCCGACCCCCGATCTCAAGGCATCCAGGATGCAAAATAAGCGGTTTCTGTCCATTTTCACACTGAAGGAGAGTTCCTGCGTCCGGCCACCACCGCAGCAGGGGCACTTGATCCTGCCCAACCAGATTCCTTCCTGCGATCGGTCGATCCAAATTCTGCGCAGAATCCTGGGGAATCTTGCCTTTACGATCCTGCGGGGGTCTGCTCAGGAATCACAACCGTTGGATTAAAGAACGAGTAAACCTCCAACACTAGGCTGACATTGGATAATTAGCTATCCAAGCGCCTGCGAAAAGAAACCAACATTCAAATCATAGACGAGGCACCGGCCCTATGACATTTGGCCAGAACGTTTTTTCCCAAACTCAACGCCGTTCACTATACCATCTACCAGGAATCTACCAGGATCATCCAATGGGTGTCCAATAGACTACCCTACCCTACTTACAGGTCTCCATTAGGTAGATATCGGGTTAGTTTGCCAAATTTCGTACCACAACGTTCGCCCACCACTCCGCAATTGATGTGGCCCAGCTTTCACACAGAGTTTGTCCTTCAATACTAACCGCTCATCCGCTTCTTCCCTTTCTGCACTCCTTCAATTTATCAAATACCTTTTCCATCCTTCTACTATGAGTTACTATGGCCCTATGATTGCCAATTCAGTGTTCCATCCCCTTCTCAAAACCTAACTCCCGAAACACCTTGTGGTAATGCTGGCTCATCGTAGGCTACAACCTTTGGAAGTTTGCCCAGTGAGTTTCGTTCCCTTGATTTGGTCTTTGGGATCTCTCATGACAAGGCTTTGTCTTGGGGATTCCTCCTCCACTCCCTAACTGCCTTCCTAGCAATGGAGACCATGGAGACTAATTAGGCCACCACACCCCTCCCAGTCCATTCCCCTACCACCGCACGGCCACCGCGCTCCATGTGGAGCGAAGCGGCTGACAGGCCAGCGTGCTTCATCTCCAAACACCGCCATGGGTCTTGATAAATCACCCCGCCATAAATGAAGAGGTGGTTCAATCCAAATCCGGGGTGGCCAAAAGGCCCAGTATAGCAGCTTTTCTAGCTTGCAGCATTTCCGCCGATACCTTCGCCGATACCAACATGTTCACCAGAAATGCCCAACGCTCCTGGAATCTGTATCTTTCCATTCGAAAAACGCCCTGTCTGTCCATGGCCCTGGAAGTGGAGTGAAAACCACCGGGCCTTGGTTTTCCCCGAAAAATGGTCATTCCTTCAGGGCCATGGAGACTGCGAGAGTGCGCTCCATGCCCTGTCCCTTCGCTCCAAGTCGCTTGGCTCAGATCCACGCCCTGTCCACCAAGGTACTCCACCTGGCGTTCGTTCGAACGAAACCGAAGGACCTCAGGACGTCCTTCGGTCCGCGGCGCGGGTTCGGTGGGCAGCCCGACCTTGCGGGACAGCACGTCCAACCCTACGGCCCATCCGAAGATCATCACGTCACACGTTCCGATCCGGAACACTGGCCTAGATGCAACTGATCATACAACTGGCTCCCACTGCATGATCATTCTCATGGGACTAAGTTGGGAAGGTCAAGACTCAGCTCTATCATTGAGCTTATGGATCTCCCTCCTTTTCTCCCCCTCTCTTCAAGGTCCATCTCTAAAGGCCCAAGGCGGCTTCAGGCCACGGTTCCCACACGGAGCTCACCATCGATGTTTGGGTCGAGTTGCCATGCTCTCATAGGTAAATTCCTCCATGGCAGCGCTGGAGCTGACACCGCTGACCTGAGGGATGTGGAGCGAGGATTTGTGCCCAAGTTCGGCACTGGTGAAGTTGGGAAGGCCCGCGGGGAGCGAGGAAAAGGTCAAATCTCTCCTCTCGGCTTCGACCTCTGCGGAAAAGACACACATCAAAACGACGGATCCTTGACAAAGAAGGCAAGAAACACCTGTCACGAGGAGAAAAAGCCATCTGGACCTTTTTCATCTTCTAGGATCGATGTCTTCTTCCTTTCCGGCGTTTCAGGTGGCAGTATGTTCGAGACAGCTCCCAAAGAGCTCAAGGATTCGGAAGTCTCATAGGGCCCGGCAGTCTGTTTCCAACAATCCTCCACCAGGAGTCACAGACATGGAGGGCCAGGGGGTGGTTTGCTTCGTCCCATCCAGCCATGGATGGGACTTCGGTTCTCTCCGGTTCTTCACTACGAAAGCCTGTTTTTCTCGCAGCCTGCAAATCAGGTTGAGAAGGTTGAGATCATGTTGAGCTCCATCACTGATGGATAAACCAAGCTCTACTTGTGACCCATACTCTTTACACTTCTGTGAAGACCCCGGAAGTGTTTACAGAATGTCCATGCACCGATCACTTAAGGCTTAAGGAGGTCATAAAGACCGTTGATCCCTTTCGACCAGGGACTCCGTCCGTCCGTCCGTCCTCACTCGGTCGCCCCTTTCGTCACCTCTTCGAGCACGGGAGCCGCTTCGATCGGCTGGGGCGCCACCTCGAAACAGTCGGACAGACCACGACCGGTACTGCATGCGTGGTCGCTGCATGCGCGGTCCAAGACCCGAGGGTCAAAACAGCAGATGATGCAATGGTCAAGTACCAGGGACACCCGGACGAAACTGGCTTCCAAATCATAGCCTTTTGGATGCTCGAGGTGATTCGGGGTGTCCACCAACGTCCTCCTGGTCCGCTCCTGGTCTCGTCATGTTTTTGGTGAAGTGAGGGTCTCGGATTCTGAGCCGAAAACGAAGGCAGGAACAACCAGGTACGACTGGACCCTCCTGGCACCTACAAAACAGATTACCGTCTCTGACACAAGTGATCTTCTTCTACCAGTTGGGCGACCTTCAATGTTTGCGTCAGGCACATGAACTTAACCCTCAGGCATTTGAAACAAATACCGTCACCACATGTCACCAACCGACTCTCTGGAACTGTGGAAGGATGTGGCAAAAATGTGGCCAATCTTCGATCTGGAGTGCTCTAAGTTGAAATGACCAAGCTTCCGGCAAACCCAAGAGAACTGGTCAACTGTCCGAACGCTGTTTCAGCCTAGTGGGACGGGCTCACAGGCCGGCCTGGCCCCCGCGGGCCTTCTGCGCGACCTGGGGAAGAAGGCAGAAGCTGAGCTCGTCTACGTGGAGACCACCACCATATACCTAGAACCTCTTCTTGGGCATACCATGATTGCCTAACGAGGCTCGTTTTTCCGGGGTGGAAACATGCTCTGTGCAAAGCCCTTAATTGTCCCAAACCCAAAACCATCCGTGTATGGCAATATTGACATACCAGCACCCAGCTACACCCCAAATGTATTTCCCCCCTATACCCTCAAAGGTGGGAGGTCAGGATGGGTTCTCCGTTGGTTGGGCTCCTTGTGCAAGACGGAGTGACGAATGAATGTCTCATTCCGTCTCACTCCTGGAGCTGAACAACTCCCAGCTGGGGTCCCAAGACCTGGGGCTGATGACGTACGTGGGGCCTCTCTGGGGTCATGACAGGTCATGATCCCATTTTTTGTGGTTTACGAGGTCCGGTGATGAACGAAGTCACGTCCAGGCTACGAACACGGGTTGGAAAGCATCTAGGTGGATGATGGGTAGAAGAAAAGCACCTGAAGGTCACCCTTAAAGGGTGCTTTATAGACTCACCTCTGAGCAGCTCGCGCCCTTCGCAATCCAATAGCCATCCACAAGCGTGACAGTGTCATTCCCTTTGATACTTCGACACCAAGCCGCGGGCCATCGCAAGTTCATGAGCGGGAATACCGATGCCCTGAGGAATGTCGGAGGCCTAAAGGTCCCAAAATCCGAGTTATATAGATATACCAGCACCCGACTCTACAGGTCTCCGAAATGGAGGGTTGTAAGGCCCTAAAGAGGTCTCAATTGGTGACCTGTTGAAGGGTGCTGGTATACAGCCCTCTTGACGTTGAACATCCTCCCGCATGAAAAGGTGTTGCACTCCATGAGTACATCGAGTCTACATTCAACATCATCTAACCACCTTTGGGGGGTTCCAATCATCCAAGGCTCCCTCCGACGAGTGAGTGTGATGCCGCTCAAGGTGATGCCGCTCAAGGCGAGGCGCCATCTGCGAAGCTGCCGAGGTTTGCCCCTTCTACCAACGATGAAAAGCAAAAACACGTGCCAACAACAGTATTAACGTCCAATGGGTCATGGAAATCAGTTCCGGAAGTCCGACTGTTGCCCAGGACCGGCAGGAAACTCCGAATCTCGCGCTTCCGATGGTCTCCCAATGCCAGCCGGTCCCCCATCTTCAGCACTTGACACAGAACGATGCAAGAGGGCCAAACTGGAGGAGGCCAGACTTGCATCCAGCATGTTGCGGGAGGAAACCGTCGTCCGTTTGGATGGTTTCGTGAAGAAACGCGTGAACTGGGAACCGGCATCTAAAATCACCGTGTCTCCTCGAAGAAAGGCGATCGATTTTGGGCCCAGAAACCAATCACGGTTGCCCAGCTATCTGTTGAACCTTAAAGTCCTATTCATGCGAGATGTTTAAATCCAGAATGGGCCCCACCATCCTGAAGTTGACCTAGACTTCCACCATCAATGGTGCGTATGCAGTAAAAAAGAAGCTCTTCTTTCTCAGGTACCTCATCCTGGCACCGCAACCTCCTGGCACGTGCCTGGCGGGCAACACCTCCGCCGGCCGCCGTCTCTCCTCCGCGCACGCGGCTCGTCCACGCGCGGGGCGGGGTGGCGCCGGCGCGGGCGGCACGTCGGCGATCAGCTCCATGGCGGTCGTTCTCCGGTGGCTGCGGCGGCGTCGCAGTTGGGAGACGGAGCCCAAGAGAGGCTAAGCGTCCGGTCGTGACGCGTGCCGTGTCGGGTTTGGGTTGGTGGAGCTCGGCAAGACCTTGGAGATCCGAGCCCTCTCGAGGGCAACTTGGACCCACCCACCAGGTCTTCCCACTGAACTGGATCTGAGTGGATAAAGAAAGGCTGACCAAAAGGCTCACAGGAGTTATAGCCCAAAACTGAAGAGTGTCCCGGCCGGTGGAGCCTTTTGTGCATCTTTGCGTCGCACCTGCCAACATGATGAAGCAACCTGGCTGAACTAGTGGCCATAGGTAACAACAGAAACGCATGCATGCTAATTACAAGATCCTGGGTTTTGAGGTCAACGGTCACGGGGTCAAAGCACTGCCTGGATCCAGTCACTTCATAGGGAGTCCCCCACCCGAAAAGTTGCAAGACCTTGGCACATGTCAATCGTATTCAACCCGTCAGCCTCACAATGGCTCTTTTCGGCCCCGATTCGTAAACACAGTGCCTTGCGATGAACTTGTAGGTTGCGAACCCCTAGCGACATCCCATGGACTATGTCGGACCCGAGCCGCCCCTGGACCCTGCCAAATCGACCTCTCGGCAGCCTGCCCGGCTCCATCTGCGACCTCCATCTACCCTTGGAGTGGGCTTCGGAGTGGCCTATGGAGGCCTGAACCCCCAAAAAAAGATAGAAACACGGTTACTTGGAGCAGCCGAGGTGTGCCCATCAAATTATTCCGAGGTACGTCTGACGGTATTCCGCTTGACCACTACTACGGGAGTCTCACCCTTGCTGGGAGCCGTGCCAATCGCCCGCACTGTTCGGGGCGATCACTTCTTCCGCCAGTCTCGCCACTCTTGCCCATCGGGAGGCGAAGGCCTGGCTTGAACGAGCGGTCCGCGGTGTGGAGGCCTGTCTTAGAGATAGACCATGTGCGTGATCTTCCTTTCAGAATAGCGGCATTGGACTACAGGCCACAGTATATTTAGATCTGGATGTCGGTGACTCTATTCCCCAAACCTTCATCCGTCCAAAGACTCCTTCAAAACGCTGGACATCGACGCTTCAACAGGCACCGTTTGTGCGCTGCCACTCGATAAAAACACCACACACGGCTCCAAGCTGAGACCCAGTCCGCCAGCGCCTGTCTTTGCCTTCGTAGTCGTTGGCAGCGACTTCACCCCAATTCGTTGACCTTGGGACTCGCTGCGCCCGGTGCCACGCACGCCGGGGTGCCCTTCGCGCGCGCGTGCCGGAACGGGGTCCGACGTCATGATGCCAAATGTGAGAACGACAGGGAATATCCTTTGAGCAATTGGAGTCTGGACAGGTTGACTAGGACGAAACATCCCGAGTCAAAAGTCATTGTATCGGCCCGCACAATCACATCTCTCTCATGTCTCACTGTCGCTCCACGTTCCTCAGCTCCGGGCAAAACCGTTCCTGGAGCTCTGCCGGAGTTGTGGGAGTTGTGGACGGGATTGCTGGAGAAGCTAGCGCAAGTGTACCGCCTGATGTTTGTGGTGTGACATGGAATTTGCCTATCTCAAAATCATGTGTTGAATAGTTACTCACATTGGGGTCATAAATGGGGCGAATGTATGAATGAGTCACTAACTAATTAGTCCTAATACATGGTCTGGGAATGGGTATGACAATCTTCACGCCGGAGACAGCGGTGGACGGCTCCAGGTCTCCTCCTGAGGTCTGAAAGGACTTGTTCATGGCCCTCCTGAAGCAAACAGCGGCGCCGCGACCCGAGAGGCGCGCATCGAACGGCAGCGGCCAGGCCGTGGCCGTGGCGCGCAGGTCGTTGCCATGCCTCTTGAGTCGCATCCCCTCCTCGTATCCTCATCCGCTCTTTCGTAAATCTGCTGAAAGAGCTTGTTGAGCGCCTGACGCGAGCGCCCGATTCCTCACGAGACCGGCATGTACGACGACAGGGTGCGATGCACGATCCGATTTCACACCCCACAGCGCTCCTTGCGTTAGCTCCTCCTCAGAAGGTATTGACTGGAACCTCCAACACATGAGCAGGTACTTGGAGCATTGAGAACATCGCGAAACTTCAAGGATGCTATCTCCAAGCACCAGGATGCACCAGGAGAATCACTATAAGGGGTCCCAAAAATTTCCCACCATTCCCACCGTGACACCGCCACCTTCTCCCATTCGGAAGCCCCTCGACCAACCGGTGTTTCGGCTTCTCGACGCACGCGGCCCCCCCGACTCGCCCGTACGAGCACCAAATGAACCCCCCCCGCTCTAACAACACCCAGACGCTCCATGGGACTGCCATATATTTGCCGATCAGTTGGGGTGGTGCCAGGGGGGTCAATGTAGGGCAGTCCCATGGAGTGTATGGGTTATATAATGGCCATACTCACCCCTTCACACCGTTGATCCCAAAGCTACCCCACAGAAGGTGGGGCTCGCCGTCGGGCTTCGCCGCTTCTCGCCTGGTCTCCGTCCGGCTTCTCGTTCTTCAGCTCCTCCTGCACCGAGCCAGTGAAAGGCGGGCGAATCCGCCACCCATTTGAAGTGAGTGTCGACGAAACCAGGATCTGAAGAGAATCTCAAAGCTTCACCGAAACAAGAGAGAAACACACCGCGCTCTCTCCCCTATAGAGGTGTGTGATTTACCTTTGTGGTCATTATTGATTCTAAGTTGACTTGACGCAAGCAGCTCTCTAAAGCTCACACTTTCTCTTGCTCCAACGGGCACGTCCGTGCCATGCCCAAGCAGGAAATCACATCGGCCACGCCGCAGCGCGGCAGCGTGGCAGCGCTCTCAGAAGCGCACGGCCCGTTGAGGTGCGCCGGACGGGAAATTGCCGCTTCGACATCGCTTTGGGGTCAACCCTTGCGGCGTTCGTGCTGGCATCTCGTTGTTCGGTCTCGGGAGATGGCCCTCCGGATGTCTCGGAATATTCGGAGCATGTACAACTGCGCTAGGTCTATAACCCAAACACTCCATGTATGCCATATATTTGCCGATCAGTTGGGGTGGTTTTGGGGGTCAATGTAGGCATCTATGGCAGTCCCATGGAGTGTTTGGGACGTTAGTTTGTGGGGGGGGGGTAAATTTCACAAGCGGTGACCTGCTGGTTCCCAGAAGGTCTCCATCCTCGGTGAAGGATCCCTTTCCCGACCGACCGCTCGGATTTCAGCTCATGAGTCATGAGTGATCCAGTTGCCTCTTCGTCTTCTGTACAGAGGACACCGGCGGGTCGACGGAAGATCCCGGCAGTTGCATCAAAAGTTGATGTGGAAGAACTGAGGAGGCCATGGAAAGTGGCAGCCTCTTCGGGTGGATTGTAGAAGTTCGTTAACAGGAAGATAGTGTGCGTTTCATCCATCACGTTTGGGGGGTTGAGGCCTCGGGACGAAAGAGCAAGGTGAAAGGTAAAGGTCAATATACTTCGAAAGAAATCCCGTTTGCTCCAGTTTGCAACCTTGTTTCGCACACGCTATCATATCATCGTTGCAAAGCCATGCATGCAGTTTGGAACCTACCAAGCACGATAAGCAATGTCTCTTCTCATAGCTCTTGGTCGGATTGCAAGCTCGTGATATGTTGTCTGATATGAGTTTCCAAGCATAAAAATTAGAAAACACATGGATGTTAGCGGATTCAAGTCCCTATAACTGCCCAATGTGGAAGTGGACCACCTTTACAGCTATGTTCACTCTACGACTTTGTCCACTTGCATGCTCAAACGCTGAAGGGGGATGGAGAAGCTCTTGGAAGGGATCCAGAATCCAACCTCCTTGAGCATGAGCATTTCTCTTTCAGTAGATTTCAGTAGGGTTTTCAAACACAACTCTATAGTAGTCAACGGCAGCGTCTACAGCAGGCTCACATAGGTCCGTGTCAGTGGGCCCATGGGGACATGGACCAAAAGGAGTTTCATGGACACCCATTGCCTGTTGTGATTGTTTTTTAGAGAGGACGTCGACATTCCAACATGATCACCCGCAGCATGAAGCTATCAACATGACCGCGGTCTGCGCCATCACCACCGGGACCACGGGCCAAAATGCCCCGTCGCCGACCACGGTTGCGCGGTGCGTGGGTCCAAAACACTGCACTATGCGCCGTCCACCACGATGCGCCCAGGCAAAGCGCCACTCAGCTCCTGGATGCTCCAATTAGCGACCGCCAACCGAAAGTCAGGTCTTCGATATGAACAAACCCTGTCACACTCCATGTGGATGCCCTGCTTTGCATACATTGGGGTGGTTGAAAAAGGGTCAATGGAGGCATACCAGGACCCTCCAAGGGGTGCCCAATGGAAACCTATGTAGTGTGGGGTAGTTCATTGGACACCCCGACAGGAGGGTCCTGGTATTCACATGGAGTGTTTGGGACTCACTGAATGCGGCGCTGCGACATGTTGGTGCCATCCGGCATAAACCGCCCGGCTCAGGTGGAAAAACCGTGAAAAACGGGGAGAAAACCGGATGAAGCGACAAGACCAACGCGAGGGGCGAAAAGGACACAGGGTGAGCGATCGGACGCTACGAGGTGGGAGGCCATCGCTACCCAAACGCTCCAAACAGCTGTTGGTCCCTCAAAACTAGGGAATTGAGACCCAGAATGCTCCAGAGGAGGGTCCGACCCCTCCATATGAGGGCCCAGGGTCGCGTCTGGTGTAGTACGTCACAAGAAGCGATGGCAATAGCTCGTCATCTGTCCGCCCGCGACCGGGAGAACGTGTCCGGAAATCTTCGACCTTTCCGCGGCTTCTTTTTGACAGAGCGAGTGAGACGAGTGTTGGCTCAGGTCTTACCTCGATTATAAGCGATAGGAAGCCTTAGAGAGTTTCGACTCTACTACGTCCCCAAGAAGTAAGGACAACTGTGCACGCGACAGGCCATCAGATTTGGAGAAAGGATGAAACATGTTGAACCAGGCCCCGTGCTTCTGAACTATGTTCCAAGTTTCAATCCTTAAGTGAGGACAACTTGAACCATTTGGACCAGAACTGGGCATGCTCGAATGCTCCCAAGAAGCAAACCTCAACACGATCGGATTCCTAAGCCGCGGAAGCGGCTTAGCCGTGATCGTACGAGACCGACTTGGGGGGGGCGCTGTTGTCGGGTCCCATTATCCAGGCCTTCTTCTCATGCAGGTAGCTGACCTTAAAGAGCGTCGACTGGTGATATCCAGTGATCTTTTCAGACTATACAATACAGTGGAGAAAAAGAACATTCGGATATGATAGGATGTGAGAACATCCAAGAAACACACGACGATGGCATGTTTCGGCATGTCAAACCGCAACAGAAAGCGTTCGTTCATGTTCGTTCAGGTCCTTTCACTTTGATAATAGGCACTGCCCCCACATGCCCCCACACTTGCGGTGACAAACCAGTGGTCTTTGACAGGTCAGTTGTGTCACTTGCCAGCTCTACCCACGTGGGCCTCAAACGGATTCCATGAGCTCAAAAACGCCCAGATTCCATGGACATGTTGGGCTGGAACTGCCATGTATGCCGATCAGGCCAGGGGTGGTTTTGGGGGTGAATGGGGCGGCATATATGGCAGTCCCATGGAGTGTCTGGGAATGAGTTCAACACAGGCCCCACCTGATCCCCAAAACATCAAACGATTTTCTCACACCGACCTTGATCAACCTCCTAAGGGTCTCCTGAACCAGGAAGTAGGGATTCAGGAGGAACAGCCTCCCTGAGTAGAAGGGTCTAGACGCCCATGAGCCCACTGGGTGCAACATATATAGCTGATTTCGATGCTTCTAAGCCTTGTTCGGAACAAAGATCCAGGTCCATGTCTATAGTCTATAGTCCATAAAGGTTCACTCCAATGTGCCCGTGTCATCAGCCACCCTGGAAAAGGTACTAAAGAATCTGTTTAATGCTTGATACTGCTTGATCATTGATTCTTAGTGGTGCCTCAAAACACGAAAGCTCCTCGGCGCCAAGCCCAGACCTGTTGCCCCAAAAACTGTGAAGATCGTTTTTCACCGGCCAGGAGCGTCTCGGCCAACGAGCTGCACCACCATCCAGTCCGCTGCGCCACCCAGGCCCATCCGCCCCACTCGGCACCGCCGTCCGACCGGAGAAAACGCCCTGCTCGCCACGACGAAGTCGTCCTGAGCCGCCCAAAGGTCCGAGCGGCCACAGCCTCGCGGATGAGGCCCTCATAGAGCTCCAGCACCGGCGTGTCGTGGAAGGTGGTGACGCCGTCCGCCGCGACCAAGGTGTAAAACTCGCTCACCGCGATCCTCAGCAGTCCCATCCGAGTCACCCTGCGACGTCTTCTCCGAGGTGTCGGTGGTGGCGGTGGCGGCTGTAAGACGTTTTCTCGGATCGGAAAGAGACTGTGCCGAACAAGGAGTGGAACATGGTGGAAAGCTAGAGCCTTGCCCCATGAAAGGATGTTAAGCTTACAGCAAGATCTGTGTATTATCTGTTCATTTCAATCAACTATGCCGTTACGGCGTCTTGTCCCAAGACGTGTTCTGGATGTGGCAAGACGGAGAAAGGCAATTTTTTGTAGTATAGCAAGGGCAAGCGGCAAGGTACCTAAAAGGTACGGTGGATTCTTTTTGGTGTCCAAGGCCGGCTTGAGCACATGCGAACGCAACCCCTGAAATGGCCTGTTGTTCTGCTGACTTTTCACAGAAAAAGAGAATGGGGCATGACCGAACAAATGCATACAAATGACCGCCTTTTTATAATCGGCTCATTCAAAGGCAAAACTGTATCGTCATCCAACATGTTGACTGACCATTGTTGACCACTCCCAGAATACTGGGATTATTAGCTAGGGTCATTTAAAAGGGGCCAATGTATGTAACTATTCCCCAGACCCATGGAGTCTCTGGGACTGACCATCGTCTTCCCTCTTCTTCTGCCCTGCGTCAGGTACTCACGTTGAGGATCCACCTCGGAGCCGTTGATCTTCAAGGACTTGATCTTCTCCATGGCGGGCGCTTCAGGCGAATAGACCTGAGGACTGGTCGATTGGATTGACCAATTCACCTGGTAGGGGTGGTGGAAAAAGTCAACAACGTTGAATCGGACCGATCATGGGACCCGTTCTTCCGCGAACAATGTTGAGGTTTGACTGTTGCAGTGAAGAATTTGTTTGAGTTCGTGTGAGCGAGCAATGTGACTACGCAAACTTTGACCAGCAGTGAGCAATACATGATATTTTACGGTGTTTTCACGTATTCTTCATGGAGCTTTGGAAATCTTTTGGTGTCCACTGAAGAAAGAAGACCAACCAAAGGCCCTGCTGTTGAAGCAGTTGAACCAAATCAATTGTGTCATGGAAATTTTAGGACATTCTATGACCTTGCCTTTGGTGAACAATCCAAGAGAGGTATGAAGTGACCGTAACCTGGGGTATTTATGGGATAGTCACGCCTAGGGTTCTTCAACCTAAGTGCGATGGCCTCCAACCTAGTAGCGTCACCTAGCGATGCCAGGAGCCCCTAATTAGTGTAGCTTCTTGCTCCTGGTAGTCAGGCCAGGAGCCCCGTTCATAGCGTCCTTGCTCCGTTCGTAGCGATGCCAGGAGCCCCGTTCGTAGCGTCCTCTGTTGGATGATTGGGTATACCTTTGGGATCCGAGCCGCCAAGTGCATCCCCTCTGAGATCTGCGGGAAGCAGGCCACTGGCGTGGGTGTCGAGCGGAGCATCTCCTCGAGTCCTGGCGAGTGTTTAACCAGCGGTCGACCTACCACAGAAGCGAGTTTTGGACTACAAAACGTACAAAACCAGGTCAACCAGTTTCTTAGTCTTTGAAGGCTAGGATTCTAGAACACCATGGCCCAAAATTCCAGCGTTCTTGCCCTGCCATAGCTGTGTCGAAGCCGGGCCACACTCTTCTCCGATTCATGACGGAGAACTGCATGGACCGCCGGCCCATTCCGCGCGCCGGTGTCCGCGAGCGAGCGGGCCTCGTCGCAGCTGCTGGCCGCTCAAGCGCTGCAGGGCGATCCGCTTGTTGAAGGGCATCTCCTCGTTGATCTGCGACCGGGTCCTGATCACCGTTCGACCGCGGCGCACGCGGCGCACGCGTCGTGACCAATGACGGAGTCTTCTGATTGTCTGTGCGTGGAATGCGCGTGGTGATTCAAGAGCCGCCGTTGACGGCAATCTTCATATTTTGAGGCGTCATGATAGAAACATGCACTGGACTTCTGAATCATGATGTCCTCAGGCTTGGCCTGGACTTGACGTCCTGGAGTTCCTCTCGCTTTGCTCTCTGTTCTTTTGTACTGAGTTTTGCTACAAAGTTGCTCCGACTCATGCACATGGACGTGAGCAAACAAGAACAATCTGGAAGAACGGCCGAACCATGCGATCCCAAGTCGTCTTTGTCCTATCATCCTCTCAGGAGCCGACCGATATCAGTCTAGGATGACGACGATGCGTGGTCCAAAGGCCATTCTCTTTGGAGGTGCCTTCCCGAAACATGGACTCTGACAATGGCTCCCTTTTCGGAAGAGTGCTTTCCTCTACCAGCCAGTACTTTTCAGGGTCGGGATCGTCGTCTTCCAGGATATTTTTCCAGTCACAAAGCAACGATTGAGAATGGCCCCTTGGAAGACCATTTTCATACAATCAGGTGGTGAACTCCATTTCCATGTGAGTTCCGGGGAGGGAAATAACCTTCCGAACCACCTCACTCCTTCCTGCTGGCCCCCCGTGTGACCTCCACCGGTGAACCTCCACCGGTGCCCTAAAGCGCCAGGTGTCAGGGGCCCAGGCAGGTAGATCCGGTCGTGTCGCACGAAGCCACCTGGAAGAACCGACGAGTGGGGAACCGTTCGAAGAACCGGTGGATCGACGGGAGAAATGTGAAGCTTGTAAGATTGATTTTGAGGTTATATCTTAGGTCTATCCGAATAGCTGTAACAGCGAATGATGTTGGTTATGGCCTTGTTCAACATTTTATCTGGTTATATATATATATCATTGATCAATGATATACCCAAGAATGAGGATGATGTGAAGACTGAGCTTTTTGTCAGCCTGCTCCGAGCTTTTGGGCCTCGATCTCTCTTCCGGTCTGCTCCGAGCGACCGTTGATGATCGCACCCTGGCATCCCTGGTGGCGGAAGGTCCAGCGCATGGCGTCTGCGACGAGGCCGCCGAAGGAGTTCTCTCCTCGGCGAACGAACGAACGAACGAACCAACGAGGACGGCCGGGAGGGTGTGGGCCGGACGGCGCTCCCAAAACCTCTGGAGAAAGGGGATGAAGTGGAAGGTTTGTGACCAAGTCCCAGTGGATAGGCCATCTTTTCAAGAGACATGTGGCTGTCAATGTGCATATAGGTTGCGTGAGAGCTGAAGGAGTTCTCTTCGTGGAACAGTCGCAACCTCTTGAATTTCAATGAAACTGCGTGGGGGGCCGCGGCGTTACGCGGAAGATGATTGCTACAGGACGTCCCTTCGATCCTACAGGGACTCGACTGGACCCTGGATGAGAAAGCCAGTCATTCTGGCTTTTGTGCTGCCCCTGGTCGGAGTAACTCATTGGCACGCAGAACGGGACTGCGGCCTGCCCCCTGAGTAACTCATGGCTCGGTGCACGGTGGGAACGAAAGCCACGGCGAGTGGTTGGTGGTGCCACGTTAACGTGGTCCAAAGCATCTTAAGACATTTGATGACCACTATAGCCTAGGACTATGACTCTTGAGGGGGCCTGACCTTTTATATTAATATAATCATTAAGCATGCAAATAGATTCCTTTAAATTACACGTTCTTCAATGGGGCTGTTCTCCCAGGCAACTGCCATGCGTTCTCCGACGGAGCTCACGGCCCCGCGCATGGTCACATCTGAGGGTGTTGGAGGGCACGTCACGGTGGGCATCTATAATCCCTCCCAGACACTCCATGTGACTGCCATATATGCCTACATTGACCCCCAAAACCACCCCAATGTAGGTAAATATGCCATACATGGAGTGTTTGGGCCTTGTGCCATGCCCTCTCGTTCTGCGCCCAGTTTCGAGTTCGGAGCTCATTGGTGCGCGAGGACCTCGGTGCGCTTCCTGTCGGATCCGCTTCGCGCAGTCTGAAAGCGAGGATCAACACGCCAATCCTCAAGACTTATGCCCTGGAAGTCCAAAGACTAGACTTTCCCTGAGTGAAGTAAAGAAATACACCCTCAGATCCCATAAAGACAATTCTTTGTATAGTCTTGTGGCATTCCCAGGAAGTCTGGTGGCGAAATCGACGTCCAGGAGTTCCCGCCTCTGGTGCTTCACACACACAAATTCACCAACAGCCAACAGCATCAATTCAACCTGGTTCACAAATCAAAATGACAGGATGCCTTAAGCTCCTCCAAAGAAGTTGTTTTTGGCCAAGGAGCAGCGGCACGTCCTTGATCGAACAAACCTTGGATAGATGCGGCCACTTGGGGATGTCGGCTTCCCCCACTGCTTTTCGCTTCTGTTCAGTCTGTCCCTTTGTCATAACATTGGATGGCACTGGAACGTAACTCCATATTCCTTCATTCCCCCCCTGGTCTATAGCGGATGGAGAGTAAATGGCACAATCCCCCATCTGAAAGACCTCTTGGAGTTTCTGCCGGGGTCTCTGGGCTCTGGGTGACTCTGCCTGCCGGCGCAGGAGCCGCGTACGCGGGCCAACTGAGCCACCAGTGGGGGCATGCCAGTCCGTTGAAGAACACACACTCGAGATAATGCGTACTGAATTGAATGCCACTCGCCACACGGCAACCTAGACACACTCCGGAGTCCACCCGCTTCGGATGGTGATTGGATGGAAACATGTTTGCACATAGTCTGGGGGTTCTACTGTTACACTGGCGCTGGTTCCTAAAGTTGTTTTATTGAGTTGTTACAAAGCTTGTCACAACGAAGGCTCTTGGCTGCCCACTTCGTTGTGTGTTGCGAGGAGACATCGCCGATTGGCACCCGCCGGTCTGCCATCGAATGTTGAAATGATCTCCTGTGGGCTAGAGACTATAGTAACAATACCAGTAGCAAAGGGCCTCACGACTCGAACGGAGCGATCAGACGCGAACCGAACGCTCCTGGCCTTACTAGCTACTAAGAGGCGGAAGCTACTAATTAGTCTAAACACCACATAGGAGAAACTAGGAGAAAAAAAAACACCAAACTAGACTAGACTGCTAGTCGACGTCTAGCAGCACATGGGAGTCCGACCTGAATCCGGCCCAGCGCACGGCGAGTGGCGGTTTCATCTTCTCCATCTTGCGCGTTCCACTTCTCAACGATCTTGGCCACCTCACAGAACTCCGAGGATTGGCAGCCGGATCTTGGCTGACCCATCGACGTCGATCAAACCGCTGACGAGAGGCCACAACGATGGTTGTCTCGTGTGTTTCCAGCTCAGTCCCATTGCAAATGGACATAGAGAACATGGAGCATGACTATAAAAACAAAGGTTTGAGACTCCAGGGGCATACTGGTAGACCAAGAAAAGTGGATGATTTCTGGGAGTTTCCCTCTTTCACATGCTTCAACCTCGCCTCAGGGTCGGCGCTGGCGCTGGAAGTGTTGAGGAATTGGAAGGAATGCTCCGCCTGACGCTGAACGGGGGACGTCGGAGAAACCGGCCCATTTGCTCGAGACTCGCCGTTCTTTTTTGTGGGTCACACTTGAAGCTCCAACCTCAAACAACATGAACATGATCGTGGGTCCTGAAAGAAACATGGGGGCCGGCCACACGTGCGCGGCCACCCTCGGCGGTGGGCCGAGTGTAGCACCGGAGCATGGCCGGTGCCACGTCGACGAGCGTTTCCCCGTTGGTTCGTACGTGTCCGGTATCGTTTGGATTCGGAGTACGGTGCACGGTGCGCATCGGAGTACCGAATGCCCGAAGAAAAAACGATCTAAAGAGCGAAGTCCAGGACTATACATGGTCTGGTAGCAAGTTCCCTGGTCTGAAGCTGAATGGTCGGTGGGATGGTGTGAGAGCTGGGCAAGGGGCAAAGTATGGCTGGGTATCATGTAGCATCTCTAAGTTGGACTCTCGGACTCCATTGGCCCATATTGGCCCACAACCGCTCCCGACGTTTCGAGACTCAACTGGCCTACTGCATGGCGCCCACTAGACAAAGGCCCCAAACGGTATACCCTCCACGTCAACGCTCGCTTCGTCGGTCCAACCGTTCTCCAGACGAAGCGAACGTTCCCCTCCTGCAGGGAATGGTTGGGCCCAGTGAAGGCCAAATGCAAATCCAAGACCTGGCATCGGGCCATACGTTGGGATCTTGGAGCCTTAGAAGTGCTTGGTTTGAAAACCCACTTTGGCAGCCCCTCAAGAAGTGCTTGGTCGACTTAGAGTCACACTGAGTCTACGTCTTTTTGGGGTCTCGTTGCCTTGGTTGACTGTCCTCTTTGACCTATACGGAAGACGTGTGTGGGCCCCACGTCTTCACCGAAGCGTCGTTCTCCCCTCCAACCGCTCGTTTTGGTCACGGTCGGACCGGAGAAAACCCAAAAAGAAAAGACCCGAAGCATGGCAGGTAGTGACTGAACAGCTTCTTCAAAGTGACCGTCTTTGATAAATTTTATATTTCGATATAGAATCAGGTCCCTTAGGTATACCCAAACACTCCATGGGACTGCCATATATATATATGCCGCCCCATTGACCCCCAAAACCACCCCAACTGATCGGCAGTCCTATGGCAGTCCCATGGAGTGTTTGGGATAGTTATAAGTATACGACCTTTCGTTGCGTCTTCGTTACGACACCGAGGTGCTCCCAGGTGATCGGCATTCTGCCCGCACTTCGCGATCAAGACGCCGCGATGCACCTGGGAGGTGCGGGTCTGCGGGTGAAGGGTGAGAACGACATCGGAGAAAAAGGCGTGAGCATCCGGATGCTTAGGTGCAAATAGGATTGCTTCAAATGGATGGACATGTTTTTTTCCACATCTTGATGGATTAGCGTTAGCATCCTCATCATTATCAACATTAAATATATTATGTATCTGCAACAAAGTGCATGTGGGAGCGCTGACCACAAATGATGCGGGAGAACTTCTCCATCCCCGGTTTGAATTGTTTGGTGCAGCAGCCTGCACAGCCCCTAGCTGTTGTGGAAGGAGGAACTGGGGCTAGTATGGGCTAGTGATGTTTAGAGCGTAGACCTTTCTTCAATGTCCTTTTTTGAAATTTCAGAATATACGTAGCGGCTGGCCTCCAACCTGGTATCGATGGCCTCCAACCTACTGATTCCTCATTCTGAGATCGGACCTCGTGTCCAGTTGCGGACATTCCGCGCAGCAGGATCCGACTGCAGCACACCAGGCCACCAGACTGCAACTGCATATCAGAACCCAAACACTCCATGTATGCCATATTTACCTACATTGACCCCTCAAACCACCCCAACTATGGCAGTCCCATGGAGTGTTTGGGGAATGGTAGGGTGGTGTAACAGTGTGACGGTGCAACAGTGCAACACGATTGTGGGCCACATGATTGAGTCGCAGCGGGCTGGGTAGGTTTTCCGCCCAGGCAGCCCAGGTGCTAGAAAAAAGGGGTCATGGTCATGGCCTCCCAGAATCACGTTGATGCCCGGGCAGCTCTCCGCCAACTCCTTGTCGTTCACCTCGCGAGATCGCTCGCGAGCGCGGCGCAAGCCGGAGGTCGGCTCCGTCTCACCGAATGAGGTTAGCCCGTCGCATGAAGACCAAACAACTGAACAGACCGGAACAGCCTATAGCCTGGAGACCATCCAGGATGCCAGCCGAAGGGTCCATCTCGGCCAGGACACTAATGACAAGTGTGTGAGCGCGATGATGAACTCACAGCCCTTCTCACGCAATGCCCCGACGCAGCGTCGCCCATGCTCATGCGGCTGTTCAAAAGCCACCTCTTTCCTGCGACTGGGGGGGGGCATCACTTGCAAAAGAACCATCGTCGTGAGGGGGTCGAAAGAACTTTGTCCCTTCCCCAAGCACTCCATGGGACTGCCATATATGCCGCCCCATTGACCCCTAAAACCATGTAGGTAAATATGCCATACATGGAGTGTTTGAGTTCTGTTTTGCTTGAAATGTCCTACCACCAGCGGCCAGGAACACCTGTGAGGATGGGCTCTTTCTAGCCATCGGTCAGGCTTGGTCACTACCCCTAATGGTCAAGCTGCATTGCGTCTCCACATCTTCTCCGAGAACAAGCAGCCTAAACGGTTGCTAGGGCACCTCAACGGTCAGCGCCTGATCTATGCAAACTGCGTGTCGTCGTGCCATGTCATGCCCGGCGGCAGCCAGCCGCCAGCGGCCGGTGGCCACATGATTGGACTGCTTGCTGCCGCCGGGTGCTCACTCCAAAGTTTCGGAAAAACAACGTATATACTCGTACCAACCAACCGTCCATGACCCAGACACTCCATGTATGCCATATAGGCCTACATTGACCCCCAAAACCACCCCAATGTAGGTAAATATGCCATACATGGAGTGTTTGGGTGATCTTGACCATGTTTCACTATAGCCGTGTCTCATTGTCTCATGGAATCCTCTCTCATCATAACAGTAAACAAAACATACACTGGAAGTGGACAAGGGCTCCAAAAGGAAGACCATTGTCCTTTACAAACAGGTGGTGAACTCCACTTCCAATGATGAGTTCAGGGAATGTATCTTTTATATAGAACTCCCAATAGTTTTGGATGGATCCTTTCACCTTTCAAAAGCATTCACTTTACATCCCTTCACTGATTCTATCATTGTCGGATATATGCCTTTCACCACCAAAAACAAAGGAGATTCTCATCAACTTAATGAAGTTCTCATCACCACCCCCCAGAGAATCAATTTTGCCCACCGGTTTCCGCCCCGCCGCTCCCGGGCTGTGAGAGCTGCGGCGTGGCCGCCGTGCAAAGCCCGAAGACGCCCACCAACACCGTGCGGTTCTCCGCTCCGACGGAGATGGGGAAGACGTCGTAATCCAGGGTGGTGTGGAAGAGGGGCTTGTGACCTCGCAGAAAACGGGAGGAGGCATGGTTTGTATATAGGTTGTTTTTTTGCTGTCGGCTTCGTTACAGGCCCACGTTTTGGGTTATTTATGCTTCCATTCATCGATTTCATGATATGTAATAATGTTCAGTTTCACAACATGTTCATCGGTTTCACAACATTGTCAACGGCTTCACAACATTGTCATCGATGTATGGATGTTGTCATCGATGAGTCGGGTGATTAAAATGGGGTGGGGGGGTTGTGATGGAATGAGGACGTGGATGTCGTGCTGAGAACATTGTTATCGATTTCACGATATGTAATCTTTGGCTTCACAACATTGTCATCGGCTTCACAACATTGTCATCGGTTTCACAACATTATCACCGTGTTCATATTCATTCATAACATTGTCATCGGTTTCACGACAGGTTGTCATCGGTTTCATAACATTGTCATCGGTGGTCATCGGTGGTCATCGTACAAGAAGCTTTCGAAGCGGTTTGGCTTGGTCCTTCGGCAATGCAATCACTCTAAGGGACTCTTCAATGTTGGCAATTGTCGATCCTTTCAGTGGAGATGGGAGATCGGAACCCAAAGGATACTGACGCATACCGCGCAGCGGCTTCGCTTGCTCTGAATGTGGACAGAAAAAGGTTGGCAGCAGTTTGAAAGCTCTAAAACAAACACTCAAACACCCTCGAAAAACAACCGTCCCGTTTTCCGCACAAAAACCCTGGAAGGGTTGCATTTTCAAGAAATGGTGACCTGGTTTCGGCAACCCGTTTTCGCCGCTAAAACTTGTTTCTCGCTGTGTGCAAACGAATTAAATCAACCAAAACGTGGGCCGGTAACGAACCCGGCGGGTTGTTTTTGTTCTTACTTAATCTTATTCATGTATGTTTCCCTTTATGGGTCTTAGGGGATGTCGTGTTTCTTTCTGATTGAAGAACTGGAGTGGGGATTTGGTGTGCTGCTTTGGGGGGTGATCAGCAGTGAAGCAAATTGGAGGTTGGTGCAAGGATGTGAACAACATCTAATACACCAAGACGGAGACCCTACCAGTGACCTTTTGAGATCCCAGAATGAGGTCACTTAGGTCCTGAACATGTCACTTACAAATCCATAATGAGGGCACTAGAAAGGTCCTGTTCTTTCACTTATAGTATACACTATTTATATTTGCATGCCTGGTGTTGCGGGGTTTGGTAGTTCTGTCTTGCAGTGCCGCTTACCTTTCTCAAACTTTGATTGTATGCATCTGAGCTCCATATCACATCATCATCATCATCATCATCATCATCATCATAATCATCTGGAAAAGTGTCCGCACTCTGCCAGAAAACTGTCGACACAAACTTCTTCCGTGAAGAAAGGCGGTTAGTCGTCAGCGATGGTCCAGTGAGTCCAGTGGTTTGTTTCTCTTATGAAGTTGCTCCTTCAAATACGCCCTGGAAGATTAAGATGAAACCTCAAAGGGGTTGTAGAGAAAAACACATCCAAATTGATCAATTTTAGTTTCCATCTGGGCCTCTTCCTGGGTGTAATCAAATTGAGTCAGGTAGCAACTCTGACCAGTTCATGGGTCGGCCAACACCCTCATACCAGGTCTAAATGCAATGTACTTGGATGTACTTGGGCAGGCACCAAACACTCAAGATCATCAACAACCAGGGTTAAAAAACAGGACCATCAAACTCATGTTGTGGCTCTTCTCCCCTTTCGCATGCCAGGGTACCATTGCTGGGTGGCCTCGCATCCCTCACGTTGGAGCCTAACCAGGGGAAGCTCGACTTGTTCATGAGCTCTTTGGTGCGTTCAGCGCCAAAGTCGAATTCGTGGTTCCCCAACCTCGGCGGAATCTCCCGCAGCTTCGGCCCACGAGTTCGTCGCTGGGTCGGACGAGAGGAGGGCGGATGCGACAACGGTGGATGCATCCGGGTTCCGCTGAAGAGAAACAATGCGCACACACACACACACACTGTGAAGAATCCCTGTGGAAGAAGGCCCAGGTTGGTAGAAGCAAGGACGGCCCAGGACCAAGCACACGCGATCTTTGTGTTAAGATTTGCATCACTCACGTTGCAAATCGCAACATGGCCACTGGTCACTCACACAAAATGATTGTTCCAAAACCGGGGTGGTGGACTGCAAAGGTCCAAATACATTTTGATGAGCTGGGTTCTAGAGGGATACGCGTTCACGCGTTCAAGAATCGGGGTCTTGCTGCCTGCGTCCTGCCAGGTTGCGATATCGACTGTCATGCTTCAAACGGGGAAAAGAACAATAATCACCAAGATCCGATCTCTCTCGATCTGCTTATGTTCAGTTCCCCGCTGCCACCCGCTGCAACACATGCTTATACAACCGCGCGGAACGGGGCGCCATGTTCCGCGCCATGTTCTTGGCGGAACATGACGGCCATGTTCTGCCCAAGTGGCACACAGTAGTCCACATGAATGGCATTCCTTGGAGAACAGGTCTCCAAAGGTCCCGAGCTCTCGGTCTCCCGAACTCCGTCGAAACGAACCGAGAACTGGCATCGTGGCATTCGGAAGCACCAAAGAAAGACTCGTCAAGGAGCGGATTTCTCTTTGTTTTCGAAACACCTGAAACCAAGTCGACTTCGCAAACATCTGCGAGTCAAGGCATGCCTGTCTAACGAAGAAAGGCGTGACACCATGGTGCTTGACATTGAGATTCATTGGATGTGCTGTCAAACTATCAACATCTTCTCCAGGTTCAGGGAATCTCAACTCAGTTGGGACGATACCGATAACCTATCACCAGGGATTTGAGAAAAACATGGCAGGGATTTGGGAAGGTCCAGTGATTGAGATATGCAAAACCTAGGGGGGAAGGTCGCTGTGAAGGTCCAGTCGCACCTCGACCTCGACACGGGACCCAGCTGGTTCGGAGCTTCGGCGCCGGCACCGATGTTGCACAGACGACGGGGTCGTCGGTCACAGACGTGAAAATGCCATCTCTCCAAGCGTTTCTCTTACGTGCTGAGTCTGATCTGCTGAATCTGCTGAGACGGTGATCAGTAGTAGCAGATATATGGTATACCAGCACCACCCAAAGGGTGGTTTATAAACCCCCCGTGAAGATGTATTTAACATCCCATCACCACCCTTTGGGTGGTGCTGGTACAAATAGGTTTATACTCCGCATCTGCCATCGTCTACAACAGGTGATAAGTACTTGTATACTTTGCATGTGTGGCAGCTAACTCCACCCATCTGTCCAGTCCGGATCGAGGGTCCAGACGTCTGGGGATCCACTCTCACAGGTCTGGCACCGTCTGAAGGCCTCACGCTTTGCTACCCCTCAGCCATTTAACTTATAAACTATATTATATGCCAGGACCCTCTAAGGGGTGCCCAATGGAAGCCTATAGGTAGTGTGGGGTAGTCCATTGGACACCCCTTGGAGGGTCCAAGTGGATATCTATATGGCTATTGGCATCTTATGCACCTTGCACCGTTCTGCACGGTCCATCACACCGTTCCACACCCCAACAAAGGCACATGCCCGCAACCCGCTTTCCCAACCGCCTTGCTCCACGCGTCAGCAGGTCAATCACCGACTCCCCTTGATGCAGGTTGGCGAACAATGATCCGCCCAGCAAGTCCCCAGGCAGTACGAACTTGCTGGCGCCGCCGTTCTTCGTGAGGCCTGAAGAAAGAACGAGCGGATGGTGAATTCAGTGAAGGTGTGGGGACGGGGACAAGAAGTGCAAATCAGGAGTGTGTGGGGTCCATGTCATAATTTGCCATGTTCAGGCTCTCTCATGTAGAGTGGTTTCCCCGTCAAATGGCACATGCCCTTCCCAAACACTCCATGGGACTGCCAGCCGATCAATTGACCCCCCAAACCACCCCAATGTAGGCATATATGGCAGTCCCGTGGAGTGTTTGGGCTTTGAGAAGCGACGTATCTGATGCTGTACCACTTCTTCCAACGCCGTTCCGAGATTCAATCGTTGAGAAGCGACGTCAAGCAAACGACTCTATTCGCTCATTACTCCTGCAGGTGAACATTTGGATGGACACAACTGGCCCAGTGAAGGATCGTCGATCCTTGAAGGAGCCCAGGCCAACTGGAACAAGAGCAGTCCACATCACATGGTTGTTAAAATGCACACAGGAATTGATAGATCTATGGGATTATGTATTCTGACTCAACCTCGGAGCCTTTCTCAATCGACGTTCGACCACCGTGAACTCACTGCGTCTGACCCCAGAACCCCTCACCGCCTTGACAAAGGCTCCGGAGCATCGGAAAGCGTTCAGGTCCTGAACCGCGACCGGTGAACGGTTCCGGGAACGACGTGGAGAGTGCACCGATGTGCACCGTCCAAACGGGGAGTTGGGGTGCGAACGTGGAGTGACAAAAGTGGGGTCTGGTACGAGGTAAGCTGTCTGTTTCTTGCCAGCTGTTGGTGTGGGTAAGGACTGCTTGAAGGCTCACCCTGGTTGATAAGTAGTTACACTATATATGCAGTGTACATTGTTTTCATGCTCTCTACTTAGTCGACTCACGCTACTATTCGATAACAAAGTTATATAGAGGTTCTTCTCCTTAAGGGTCTTCTGGACTTCCAGGGAACATCATTACCCCGATTTGGACTGAACGATTCTCTCTTCATGCTTCATTATAGGGCTTCATTGATGCAAAAGTCTACACGTCGACCGGTCGAGATCAACTCGATCCGCCCAGCGTCGATAAATGTCGTTGGCCGTCAAAATCCGTAGGCTCGGGCTTCGGGACTCCACGGAGTTATCGAATGGCCGCAGGAAGGGCCAACAGCCCTGAAAGCACGCCATGGCGAGACCAACGCAGCCCTCGACGTTTGGATAGGAAAAATCTGTGTCGTTGTCGTTGCCCAAAAAGCGTGACACGTGGTGCTGTGTTGAGCGACATGTTGTGAATCGGTTGGAAGTGGCGAGAGTGCAGAAATGAACTACAGCATGTTGCCAGGTTCAGGATCACTTAATAATAATACAATCCATCTGCTGACACGCTAAAGCGTGTGTAAAAGTGTCAAGGCTCAAAAGGGAATCATGATAGTAATGCAGTTGCTTTCTGAAGCATCATTATCCAAGAAACACACTGGGAAGGATGATTTTGGGTTGCTTGAATGTCCTTAAAAGGGTTTCTTGCGCTGTTGCGTGACCATAATTTTGGTCCGCTCACGATCTCAGGAGCTCGCAGCTCCAAGCAGCCTCTCAGATGGTCGCCAAGACAAAACATACACACTCTCAAGGCAACCTTCGTCAAGTGTAGGTCTTCGTCGCTGAATCACATGCAAAAAAAAAAACAAACAAGATCAATCAAGGGATCATACCAAATGTCTCTGATCTAGTGCCAAGCGAACTGCTGCACGCTCCCAAGAAACATGTGGAAGTAAGGCTGCACTCTTCTTCGTCAGTGAGATGAAGTACAGTCGACGGCGGGCGAAGCTTCACATCCGAGCCGGACAGGTTCCCGACAGGCCAGTCTTAGCCCCAAAACCGGTCTGAGACCTGCCAAGTATCTTGCCATGATGATAGCTTTAAAAAAAAGAACACACACACACACACACCCAACAGAACACTTTCAATGGTTCTGAACATGAAAGAGTTCATGGAATCCTCGATCAGTTGGATTGGATGATTGGATGACCATGTTCCTGAGGGGATTTTCCACATCCATGATGATTCCAGGGATATTGGATTGCCAAGGCCACCCACCTATCCCCAAGATTTCACGACAGCACCCACCGGACACACCCAGGGCACCCTTTTTCCGCCGATGGCCCCCCCTTGCTCGGCTGCGGCGATTCTCTTCTTCTCACCCCGGGCGCCGCTCTCCGCCGGGGCCTCGATGGCCGGGACGCCAAACGAAGGAGTAGGTGGACAGGGCCTGATGGGTGAGCTTTTTTCGCCTGGTGAGTGGGTGGCTTTCGATGTCAGCCTCAGTTTCTGGCGTGGACTGGATACTAGTGGAGCTCGTGAACGGAGTGGACTGGCCGACTCGGCCGGAGTTCGGTCGCATCACCCGACGCATGGGACGAAGCCGACGAAGCCGACGAAGCCGGACTCCTTCTTTGGGCATGGCCAAAAGACCATGGCTTTTGGCCCAGTTCTGGGTGGTGTCGCAGCAGTGCCAAGTGGTTCAGGCCCCTCCTGTCTCTTAATGAGCGATAAGCTGCGGTGTTTTTGGACAACCTGAGGATCGGCTTCCATGGCTTTCTACTGTAAATTGCAGACCAAACGGACATCTGCCGCAACTCCTCAAGTAGATAAAGTTGCGTGTGGGGTAGAAATACTGGAGAGCTGGGGGCCGCTCAAATCCTTTACAAACAGCAGTGTTTTGTGGTGATATTTTGGGTTTGGTTGACTTGGCTTGGATTGAAAAAGCTGGAGGGGGTTGGGCGCGGCGCCTTCCCCCAAGAGCAAACTGCCAACATCAACATCCACGAGAACCAAAAGCATCGGCACACCATCAAAAAACCAACCTGCAACCAAATCAATCCAAAGCCAAACAAACCCGCCAAATTTGAAATTTGCCTACCAAAAGTCAACAGAGGCAGCTATTATATATCAAAAAACCTAACCATCAAAATCCGAGAGAACCACCAAAAGCAAGCCACTCAAAAACCTTAAACCACAACAAAGCCATCAAAAGCCGCAGAAGCCACCAAAGCCCAAAGGCACATGGCCACCACACAAGCCAAAGTAGGTCCTTCAGGCGTTTGGAAATTCATGTAGATGTGCAAGTGTACGATGGTCTCTTGCGTTCCTCCTTGTTTTTGTTTTGATCTTTGACATGTAATATGCAATGTATCATGGTTTGTTCCTTGCATTCGGTTTTGCTATGGTGGTTCTTTAGTTTTGAGAACACTCGAAAGCCAAAGGGAACCGAAACCAAAAGCCAGAGAAGCCACGAAAGCCAGCCACAGAACCGACAGGCTAAAAGCAACACGTGAGACAAAAAGTAACAAAGAGATCGACAAACAAACATCCAAGAACCAATCGCCCTGCGAAATGTTTGTTACAAAGTTTTGGGACCTCGCTTAAACTACCAAACAAAACATCGCAGTTTCTGCTCGCTTCAGTTGATGCTCCTCTGAAAAGGCCCGTTGAGTCGATAGCACAAACCACCACGGATCTCATGGCTGTGGGGGTGGGTGAACATTCCATTCCCCAAGTGGATGGGTGGCGCTCACCAGTTGGAACATCTCCCTAAGTGCTCTGGGTGAGTAGATCAGCGGAATTCTTTCGCAGAGAGATCTGTGATATTGCAGAAGATCAAACCAGCGAGTCCATGCGAGTCCAACAGACTTCTGCTCATTGACCAACGAAACTGCATCACGAAAAACTGCACACCCCTCAACAAGCCCTGCTGGGATCCAAAAAGGGGATGACCAAAGGAGCTGACTGATGCTTGTTTGTTAAACAAGGTGAACGAAATACCTTCAATGGAAACGCCTGATCATTTCCACACCTCTCGGCTTGCTTGAAAAAACCCACCCCAGTGCCTCTAAGCAGATTGAGACGATCCCCACACATTCCAGCAATTGCCTGATGTCGCAGGAGAGAAAGAAGGGAAAAAAACAACGCCCGGACACCGACCGGGGGCGTTCTGCACCCCCTTTTTCAGGAACAGGCGAAAAGTGTTGACCGCCATCTGCAGCAGGTTTTGGGCGTTCGGTGAGTGCTACTGAGTTGATGGCGTCTGGCAGAAATGCCCAATTCTGGGTGATACGTAGGGAATGCATTTGTCTTATCTGGTCCTCTTGTGCTGACAATTACTGCATGCTTGAAGCTGATTGTCAGCCGAAAAAAACACCTAGTTGCCTCGACTGGAACAAGCTAGTTACTACAGCAGCTTGAAGCGCACCCGTGGGCGTTTTCTCCGAAAGGAATGTAAACAAATAACGACATGTCATGTGCATTCATGTGCCATGCTAACAGCCACAGATGGCCGACAACCATGTGGGTGTTTGGAGTCTATGCCCTATGAGTTGAAGGCCCCAGGAGTTCAATTTCTATGTGCACCAGCCTCTCCACGCCGGCACGTTGAACCTAGTTACTGCAGTAGACAGAACCAAAGAAGTCGCCGGTGCCGCAACGGCCTGGCCAAGCAGTCGACTTGCGGCTCTGGCTTGTGAAAAAGCACTGCAAGTAAGTAGAAACATGTAGAAACACCAAAATTGGTGCCATTCTTGAGGGGAATGCGATGTGATCATCATTTCCTATTCAATCATTCATCCCAACTCTGTCTGAGTCATGAGCAAACCCCGCGGTCATGACTAGTCCTTCTGCCACCTTTCACACTCTGATGCTTAGGGCCGATCAGGCGCCCATCCCGATGGACGCTGGAGGGAACCCAGGTGCAGGAGTCCCTGCCAGGACCCTCTAAGGGGTGCCCTGTCTGGAAGCCTATAGGTAGTGTGGGGTAGTCCATTGGACACCCCTTGGAGGGTCCAGGTGGAGGGTCCCTGGAGCGGCACCTTGCCCTGCGCGGATGGTGCAGCCGCACTCGGCGCACGCCACGTCCACGGCATTGCGACGCTTCATCGCCTGGGCGGAAGCGCAGGGCACGTCCTTCCACCCAGGAGATGCCAATGGATTACTGTCCGTAGGGCTCCAGTCGTACTTCCTCAGAAGGTACTTGGACCCTCCTGGCACCCACCCCAGTCCCACCTTCGAAACGAAGGTACGACTGGAGCTCTATAGGGTGTAAGACCAAAAGATCCACAACGTCCTGATCCCCGCAAGTCACCCTTCCGCCATGAAGTCTGCGATCGTAGCATCCTTTGGAACAAAGTCTGAGCCCAAACGGTGAAGACATACACAGCAAAACAGAACCCAAACGCTCCATGGGACTGGCATATTGACCGTCCCATTGGGGTGGTTTGGGGGGTCAATGGGGCGGCAGTCCTATGGCAGTCCCATGGAGTGTCTGGGAATCATGTACCAGTATCCGACGTACCAGCATGGAGACCCTCTGCGTGCCAACAACCGTCAACCCTCGAACGAGGAGACCTGGCAGTAAGGATGCTGGCAAAACCACCTATAGAACCCATTTTGGACGAAGTTGGGCCATATTTCATGTTCCCTAGAGCTCCAGTCGCACCTTCGTTTCGAAGCTATTTGGGTGCCAGGAGGGTCCATCCAAATACCTTGGGAGGAGGGTACTGTACCAGGAAGGCCACTCAGGGGTCACTCAGGGGTCACTTAGATCCTCCAAACTTGGGGTCACTACTAGGAACAAGTGCATCGCTACTAGTAACAAGTGCATTACTAGTAGTAACAAGAAGCTAGTAGTAAACAAGAAGCTCCAGGTACCAGCGCCAGTGCAGCCCAGGGCACGTGGGGCAAATCCTGCGAGGAGGATGCCAAAGCGTCGACCTGCCGTTGGCTCGTCGAAAAATCGCCGTTGGCCTCGTTGCCAGTCGATCGGGGAGGTGCTTTTGAGGTCACCAAAAGACAATTCCCAGACACTCCATGGGACTGCCATATATATGCCTACATTGGAGGGGTTTTGGGGGTTTGGGATTGGTGGGCCAAAAACAGGTCAAAACCTCAAGCAAGCCTCTTTGCAGGTCAAGTGTAGTTTTGTCTCGCCGTCGCCCCAGAAAATATGCCTCCGCTTCGCTCCAAACGCCTCCATTCTACCGACCTCCCCTCTTCCCCAGCCACCCAACAGAAAGGAGCCTGGCCGGCTTGGCCAAAGTCAGGCATGTAGGCACGCACCTGGAATCGTCCACGGCGACCACGGCGGGCAAGGCGACCGCCCGTGGGAATCCTTCCGAAAAAGGTGATCCAAGGAATCCGCT